CTTATTTCGTCAAGTTAAGGGAACTTTCTTGGGGTTAACAGAGATAAGTCAAACACGCGGCACTTGTCTTTCATTGCATTACATAGCACGGAATGACAGGGACGCTAATTCACAAACAACCGGCAAAAACTGTATCCAACTCACCTGTAGAATGATCGATCTCCTTTTTTATATGTAAATTAACGACAGAATTGATCGTATATTTTCTTATCGCTATATATATTTGAAACATCAGTTCTTATATCAAAGACTGTTTCCATGTACAGTAGTATTTATGTACAATGTCAATAAAATGAAAATAGTTCAACAATAATAAACATTTTTTTTATTTAAGGCTAATACAAATTATATATCATCAAATAATTTGTGCATTATCATGTCTAACTTATAAACTTTTTCATGTAGAAATTCAGGTACTGAAATGTATACTTAAGCGGTAAATTGTCTCTTTTTCTTTCCAGACGTCCCACCAGAGCTGCCACCAGCCAGACCCCCCAAAACATCCGTTAGCTCCAACTCATCGATAGGTTTGTGTAATTCTTTTTTTTTCTGTACTCTTTGATTAGATATGCAAAATGCAGATCAGATAATTTTTACACTTTATTACATTTATTCTATTTAAATTGTCTCTTGTTAATTATCAAAGGTGTTCTGATATTTTCAACATTATCAATTTCAATTGCTTTAATCGACTTGCAATAAACCGTTACCTGGAGCGTGTTTCCGCATACAATATCAACAAGTTACGAGGATGAAAATACATGCATCGCTTAAATTTATGTTCAATCGTTCGGATTTAATAAAATACAGGCGTGCACAAAGTTTAATTTATACTAGTCGTTGACATTAACGGAAAGTTCAACAAAATTTTAATGTCTTATATATATTACTCATTATATATTTTGCAGATTCTGGGCATGCACCGGTCCCTAGCAGACCTCCTAAAGGTCAGCTACGGTCAGCACATTCGTTTGAAGGCAAGTTGTAATATATATTTTATTTTATATATTATCATATCACATCTTCATGAATCAAATTATCAGAGCGTATGGCTTGTTCATTAAAATTATGTGTCAAAACTAATTGATTTTGGTTTCAAAAACTTTCCGATGACTTTTCAGTAATACTGACCATATTCTTGGTCATATAGCAACTGTTACAGGGCGAGAAAAACGTGCAGTCTGGCTGGGCCTCGAACCCGGAACCCTCGGAATACCGCTCATACAGAAATAATTGTTTTCACGAACTTTGCGTAGACATGAATATACAAACTTTGCTGAAAATAATCCAAATTTAATTTTAATAAAACTTCTATCTATATAAACGATCTATGACAATTTTTGAAATTCTATAACAATATTAGAAGCATATGAACCCTATTCCACGAAAAATAACTAGGTGAATACAGACAATCATTAATGAGCCATGTCACGACAAAACTAATATAGTGAGTTTGCGACCAGCATGGATCAAGACCAGCCTGCGCATCCGCGCAGTCTGATCAGGATCCTTGCTGTTCGCTATCAGTTTCTCTATTTGTAATAGGGTTTTTTAGCGACAGCATGGATCCTGATCAGACTGCACGGATGGGCAGGCTGGTCTGGATCCATGCTGGTCGCAAACCCATTATGTTGGTTTTGTCGTGACACGGCTCAATATTCTTCTTGTAACGTTTAGTGATAACACGTTTGTATTTCTAAAGCTTGCAGGGGTAACATTTGCACTTCAAACATGTCTAAGAATCATAAAAAAACTTAACTCATACAAGTAAACTGTTTTATTTTTTGATAAAATTTTCATTTATTAACATCACTTTAAAGTGTAAAGGTGGCTTTTATTACATGAAAAAAATACATCAGAATAATAGTAGAATTACCCGCAATTGAATGACTTGTACCTATTGTATATAGTACACAAGTTATTTTATATTCATCTTGAAAATGATATTCTTTCAGATTTTGAAAATAGATTTCGGTTCCATGACCCTGCAGATTTTCCGGAACCAGAAACGTCACAAATAACTGATAACAGAGTATATCCTAGCCTACAAGCTAAAAGAAAATCTAGAAGTAAGTATCTTGATTTGCCATAACGAATATAAGAAGCATTTTGATTGGTCCAGATGTATGTATTTCCGAAAGAGGATTGATTTACGCACTGAATTCAGGCATGTTACTTTTGTATGTCTTTGATGAAAAATCATTTTCAAAGTGATAACAAAACTGAACAGTTCTTCTAACAAAAAACCTTCACAATATTTAAAGTTAACCTCTGTAGAGCAATCCCTTTAAGCAACAGCCAACATCTTTGTTTTCTGAAGGAGTTGCTCTGTACCGTAGAGCTTGTATTAAATCTGTTTTCAAGTAAATTAAGGGGAAAAAAACCTTCTGGCACACTTCATATAACGAGACAGTACTACTCGGTAAAATATCATTTAACCAGGTAGCGTTCTAATATAAAATGGGTTTCTTTTCTCGTGGCAAACTTGTGTGCATTTTAGTACCATTATTCTTTAAAATTTTGCTTTTATGCGCATTTTGAAAAGATATCCGCTTGATATTAAACAAAAACACCAACGGCCAACATGCACACCAATACACACCGGTGCAGATTGATTATAATAATTGTCTATTGGCCAAATGAGTGGCCACATTCAAATTTTATTCTGGATAATCCTAAAATTGGTAATGGTCATTTCTAAAAATGGAAGCTGGACAAGTCCATTTAAGAAATTACGGGTTACAGAGCAAAACAAGAAAACATCCTTTGACCATTTGTATTGACGTCTTTTTTCAGTTTTCGTTAAAGGACAAGTAATTATTTATTTTGAAAGTTAAAATTAAAATTTATACATAAGACGATAATAAATGTGCCATAAAGACATGTTCGATGTTCATACAGAAAACCCCCAATCTGTTCATAATCTTTCTCATATTACAAAATGGTACAAATGCAAATGATCCGTAGCCCTCGTTCATGAAAATATTTAAGTGGGGCTTTTTTGGTAAAGCAAATTCAAAATATATTATCATTTCACAGACGCTTAATTTTGTTTAACTAAACACTGTTTTTTTATGGTTGTTTTTCTCTTCTTTTTTCATTTCAGAATATCATGACGACAGCCTTGGAGCATTATGATAGTTCTCTACACGGTTCTTGACATCTATATTCCAAATATTTTGAAAGACGCTTTTGGCAATAACTTATACACGTTTTTATAGTATGCGTTTCCGTGGATATTTGTTTTTTTTTATATATGAAACTGGTGTTAAAATATATGTCGCGGTATCGATGGCCAGTTGTTGTACAGCAGAGTTGTGCGCTTTGAATATAACTTATTAAATAACTTATTTAATGTGTACAAGTTATAACAAAGCCGGAAGTGAATTGTTAACTTCCGACAGGATAGTGTAATATACATTTGTTTTTATTAAACTAAAATGTACCTGTTATGTAAATTTGTAATTCTCAATCTGACTTTTATTTTAGATCTTCTGAAGCGTACTGTAGCGTTATTAAAGAGCAAAATTTTGAATATATTGCGTAATGTTGATCTGCGCGTGCATTCATTGTAAAGCGTCATTAATTTCCGGTAAATGGTGTAATTAACATGCAGAAAATTGACTTTCCTAAGCAACGACCTGACAACCGAATTAAGAAAATGTGAAGTTTTAATCGTTTTGTTTTGAATGTTTGTTGTTTGTTTTTGTGATGTTTTAGATGAAAAGTTTATATACCCTTGATAACTATGTGGCAATTTGAATGAAAACTTTAAATTGACGAAATATACAGTGTATGTTATTAAATGTAAATGTGTTTTTCACTCAGCAAAGCAATTTATGAAACGTTCTAAGCGGACTGCTTGCTTGATATGGAGAGAGGCTTTGCTTATTTTGACATGAAGTGGAGCACTGCTTGTTTGACATGAAGTGGTACATTGCTTATTTGACATGAAGAGGAGCAATGATTGTTTCACAAGAAGTGAAACACTTATTATTTGACATAAAATGGAGCATTGCTTGCTTGTCATGAAGTGGAGCATTGCTTGTTTGGCATGAAGCGGACCAATAATTGTTTGACATTGAGTGAAGCATTGCTTTTTGACCTGAATAAGAAGATTGCTTGTTCTTAAAATAAAGGAGTGTTTCTTGTTTGACATAGTGGGGAACACTGTTTTTTGACACGGAGGAGCATTGCTTGTTTGACATAGAAAAAGGAATGACTTAGTTGACATTTATGTGTGTTGGACACAGAAAAAGAGGATTGTTTGTTTGACATATAGAGAGGAACATCTTTTATTGACATTCAGATGGACATTTCTTGTTTGACATTAAAAAAAAATAAAAGTGGCAATTTTCTTTATTATACATAAAGAATACATGTATATAGACACTTATTTTGGGGTAATATTGTTTGTAATATAAAATTGGTATTCTTCTGGTGGGCCAGATATATAACGGAGTTATTTCCTCTTCATTTTCAGGTTTATGTTCCTTGTAATGTTAAAATGTATTTTTTAGAATTTAAATATAGATATTAATATAAAGTATAATATAAAGTATAATTAACTGTTAGCATATGTTTGTTAATTTTCAATTGTGAATATTTTTCCAAGTAAAACACATGGATACCTTACCGTTTACACATAACAGCAGTCAAATCAATAAACAATATATAAAAAGAATTTTTTATTAGAGTCATTATCTTTATTGTAGGCATCTGATAAACACTGATAAACATGTATTAAACATATCTTAAACACATATAACATTTCATTGTACTTAAATTTCATCTAAGGTTATTATTCAAAATAAAGACATTAAGAAAAACATTACATCAAACAGAGAATTAAGTGTCTAGGACCTGTCTTTACTGTGTTCAATGTTTATCTTTTCTGGTAATGTAATCTTGAGTATCCAGGGGGGGGGGGGGGGGCAAAGTTGTACCCATGTGACCAGTGCAGACTAAGAATCAGCCAACACATTTGTGGACTCATATCATGGTATACTATATACTGTTCATTATTCAGTCAGAATTTTTGAATTTTTCCCCTAAAGGTGATAGTTTTGTCAAAATTGCAAGATGGACAAGTAGCTTGGTATGGTTTTAAAGTACCACATACTATAGATAAAATCTTATATTCAATTTTCATTCACTGCTTAGGAACACATCATTTATATCAAGATCACAACGCAACTCTCCAGCTTATCTAATATAGGAAGTCACCCTAGTGCTTCTTTGTCTTTGTACGTTTTTTCATCAATTGCATAACATGATGCTAATATATTATATAAAAACATAAATAAATAAAATATTGATTGTGACCTTGACATGTATTTCTTTGTTCAGAATATTATTACATGTATACTTAATTCAGAAGTCACATACAAGTCATTCATGCATTTCTAAAAACATAAATAATGGACAACATGAATGAAAATATACGACAGTTTAAAGCTTCCTGACCTTTGTTATAAAAGAAACTTAAAATATTTGCAAGGACAATACATAACAATAAAACTGACTTTTTCTCATTTTATTTCCATCTTGTAATCCCCCCCAAGTCAATCCATGTAAATGTTGTTTCACCTTTATCCCTTAACCTACTGAATTTCTTAAATGGACTTGTCCAGCTTCCATATTTGGGACAGTTCATTATCAAATTTGGGGATATCATGACAATAGTTTAGTCAGCCATTTTTGTAGAGTGGTAAAAAGTCTATCACTTCCTGTCTTAGCAGAGTAAGGGTTAAAGATGTCCATTAAACAAAATAAGCTCAAGCAGAAGGCAAAAATAATGCAGTAAATATGAAGACAGAAAAACCAGCTACATGTATATAACTCAATTCCATTCAACAAAAACAAAAAAAAGTTTAAGTCTTCATACATAATATTAAAAAGTCAGCAGTAAGTTATCAGAAAATAAGGAATATTATTAATCATCAATAAATAAACTAGTAAGACTACTGGATGCACCACAAAGATGCTTTCAAATTGATGAAATTAAACAAATAAGACCTTACTCCGAGAAAAAAAGCAGAGAAATCTATTTAATCCTCAGTGGCCTTATCATTCGCAATCCTTAAAGAACATGGAATGTTTCAAAACAACAAATATCTCGGTCTTCAGTCAATTATTGAAGTTGTATGAGAAAGTCCTCAGTAACTATCTGCTTTTTCAAAACGTTTAGAAATCATAAAAAATTTGGAAAAATTTAATTTATTAACAGCTGCATGTAATCTAAAACAATACCTTGGCATTATGCATTAAAATATATTCATTCATTTTGGCTTGATACACTAAAATATATTCATTCATGCTATGTTAATCATTAAAATCCTTGAAGTGTGATATTTTTCATATCGCTCACTGTATATTACATGTCTCTAACTATAACAATTTATTATTATTCATTATTTTTCATCTTATGGCACAAAATTAAACAAAGAAGATTATTTTCTTAATGTATTAAGGTTAAATACAAAAATAAGTTTTCCTTGTTCATAAGCTGCATGTTTTTTTTAAATCATTAAAATGTACCCCTAACCCACATAATATCCTTTGTGAACTTGTCCAAGTTTCAATTTAAAACAGTCCCTCATCAATATAAACATTAGCACTATGAAAATTAGGCAGTTTTTCAACCAACCTTGAAACTCTCATCATACTGCGTAGATGGCTTTATATTGGTAGCATGAAGACTTTGAATTTTGGTTTGAGCATTATGAGTAATCACAATTTTCAATAAATTATTTAAGTGACACTATGCTCATTTTTTTATTGTTTAGCTGAATTGACTATATATTTCAAAAGATTGATTATTATAATAATGATTTATTGGAAAATGTTTAGGATTAAAACATAAATCTGCCTTAAATATAAAATGATTGCCACACTCTTTTTATAAATTGAATTTACATGTAATTTCCAATGGATATCTACAGTGATTCCCTTGAGCCATGTGAGTTATTAATCATTCATGCAAAGTAAATTATAAAATTGAAAGGAATTATGGCAAAATTTAAACTTTTTCTGACTTTCAGCAGTTCACTCACTTAATATACCATTAGACGGGCACAATGTCACTTTAAATTTATAATATCCTAAAATAGCACTTTTTATCACTGTGTATAAAGCGAGGCTGCAAACACAATGTCTCTCTTAATCATAGAGGACGCCTCCTCCATCTTCTGGTAGAGGACGGGATCACCGATTATACGTGCCGCATTACGGACATCTCGTAAAGTCTCGTGAAGTCGCTGTATACAACGCACTATAATTCCTTCCTGCACGTCCGTCAGGTTAGTGATCTCAGAAAATGGCTGAAATAAAGAATATAAGTACTCATTTTCATATTAAGATAACTAAATAATCAGTTTGAACGAAGTCGGCATCTGGAGGAATTTATTACCCTTACATCTCTATAATTGTATAATGGACTTGCCCTTTGACGGCAACTTCGAACCCACATCTCGATGTGAAACAAGAATTAAAAATATGATGAAATTTAGTAATTAAACTATTAAATTAAACTATTTCTATTCTTGTAAAATTTTCTTTTTATTATTTAAAAAATGTTTTAACAATCTGGCATAGTTCTAATTAAAATTCATATATGTTATAAACACTTACAATTCCTCTTGCCCATTCAAATACAACTTCCATAAGGCCAAATTTAAACGTTTCCTCGTATTCTGAATCTACCTGCATCCCCATTTGTTTCTGAATCTTACTAATTTGTCCTGCCTTCTCTAATATCTTATCTCTACCCTGCAATATATTAGGAAAATTTAGTTGAGCCGCGTGACGACAAAACCAACATAGTGGGTTTGCGACCAGCATGGATCCAGACCAGCCTGCGCATCCGCGCAGTCTGATCAGGATCCATGCTGTTCGCCTTCAGTTTCTCTACTTGTAATAGGGTTGGTTAGCGAACAGCATGGATCCTGATCAGACTACCCGGATGCGCAGGCTGGTCTGGATCCATGCTGGTCGCAAACCCATTATGTTGGTTTTGTCGTGATGCGGCTCATTTTACTTTTCAGCACTCTGTTGTAAAATACTGCAGAACCAGTTTTATTTGCATTACGTTGATTTTCGCTAATATTCACCAGTCATTTTCAAGGTCGAATTCATAATTATCATGATAAGATACATTGTATGTATGACCAAAATCAAGATACATGTATACACAAATGTATCAGTAAATTTGCTATTTAGTCATTTTTTTTATCATAATATAAACTCCTGCCATTTCAAAAAGATACTTCAAATTCAACACGTCCTATTTTCATCACCATAATGATACAAAGTAATGAATACACAAATAAAGAAAATTACATTTTTTGGTAAAAAAATTGGGAAAGTTTGACAACATGAACTTATAGCATTTTAAAGTACTGCATAGTTTGAGTTTGGATGTGCAATAATACAACATAGACTTCAGTGATTTATTACAAAATTACAAAGCATCTGAACAATAAACAATGTAATATTACATGTATATGAAAATGCAAGAAAATTAATGATTTATTTCAATTCTTTATATGCTCAAAGAAAAAGAGTTATTTAAAATTAAAAACCTACATTAATCTGAGAATAATTTACTTAATGTCAATCATTGTATATGACATAACATATCAGCGTTACTTTCATTACTACATACATATACATGCATTGTATACTTTCCACACTCTTGCAACTATGGAAACAGTAGAAACCATGTGAAATAGTTAAGAAGACTATACATAGCACATGAAAATACTATATATTGGGTAATTTTTGCATACAGCAAATTTCACGATTTTGGCAAGTTACCATTTATTTAACATGCATTACCATAAAAAATTACAAACTTGCAATGAGATAAATTCAATTGCCGATTTCATGTTGGAAAATGATGTAATGCAAACTAGTTAAAGTAAAGGCCCACCTTTTCGAGTGTATCGATCAGTCGTGGTTCACTGCAATTTTTTTGTTCAAACACCATTGACGACAACAATGCTGCTATCTCGGTTGGATGTAGGTCAGTGAGTGCATTCTCGAACACGAGTTCAGTGATCATCAGCTCGTGCGTGGATATTTCACATGCCACACGTCCCTTTAACTGTACAGCATTATGTTCATCTATATAGTTCAGCGCCTTTAATACCTGTTTATTTAGATAATAAGAGATTAATTCATGGCAGAGTAGGTCCGGAAGGTGATTATCAATGAATAATGGACCTGAGGGCTTCAGTCTGAGAGCATTATTAATTCAGGGCCTTTATTCACTTTCTGGTAATGTCTTTAATACCTATTGATCTAGAAGTATCATTTTTTAAAATCATATATACTTTGATATTTCTGTTGTTGAAATTCCTTTCAATGTTTCACTGTAAATCTAGATTTCTACTGCACAGAAACTGCTACAGAACTGCTTCCCTTATGTGTATACAACGTACACTTGAATCAAGACCCAAGTTTAATTTTCATTTTCTCGAAATGAATTTGTCAATTTTTTACATTAAATTTTAACAAAACTGTTTGCACAAAATGCGCAAAATCAAGTAATCCAAGCTTTTAACCTACTTTTAGTTTTACAGCTACTTGTTTATCCCCCGATAAAAATCTATAATGAATGTCTATCGGAGTAATAATGCATAGTGGTAAAATATAACATTAAATTGTTGGTTTGGGTGTTCAGCAATCCTTAGATTACTAGTAGGACGCGTTAATCACTTGGCCACGCCACCAACATCTGCATTTAAGACTATATTCATAACAGTAGCAGAATGGTGCCAACAAAAGCTTTTAGAGAGTTTAAGACAACATTTTCCAGGGCAATTTCAAATACTAGAATATCTAGTCTGATATAGCCAACTCACCTCAACTCTCTGCTGATATTCTGGTAGTAAAGTCAAACTGGCATCTGACAACAAGAACTGTAGCCTTTTATAATCTTCCTTTAACTTCATATTAGAGCTAATCTGACTAAACTGAAAAAATATCATTCAAACATTTATTTGTCTTTCTTCCCTGTTTAAAACTTCAAAATGCATTATTATTTTGGAATGTTAAATTTATTGAAATTAATCTATTTTGTTTGGTTTGAAGTCAGTTCAAGTCAAACTGGTATGGTCAAATGGCGACCACAAACTTGATTTACAGGTTTTGTAAGAAAGGACACAGTACAGGTATCTATAAATAGTGTAACCCCTGACCTCTGTAGAGTGGCTCTCTGAAGACCTATAACCTCTTTACAGCCACACAAATTAACAATTTACTGTAAATTCTACCTCACTACAGCAACACCTCTCAGTAACAACCGATAACTTTTGTCTCCCCCATGAGTGTTGCTCTACAGAGGTGTTACTGTATCAATACATGGCTATAAGGCAATATACAGTAATCAAGTAACTTATACGTCCCAAAACATATGTTCTTGTTGCTCACTTCCTTTATGCATTTAAAAATATGTATAGAGTATAATTCTAATTTCTAGTGATGTTTGTCCAATTCCTTGTCCTAAAAATTCAGAACTACAGACTTAAGTTTAGTTTATACAAATTTATTTTAGTCGAATTGTGTTGGAAGCTGTAAGCTTATTGAAACACTCTCGAATCTGTCAGTTCCTGGAACCAACCAGTACTAAGCAATAAATGAAAAGTTTCTTGCCCCTGACAGGGTTTGAACCCACGCGGTCAGCAAATCCTTAGATTACTAGTCTGCTCAGCCACGCTGCCCTTCAGACAGACTACAGACTTTGTTACTATTTTACTGTCTAATAAGAGCCTAACCAGAAACACAAACTATCTAACAAAAACAACAATGTGCTTAGTATCAAAAATCTCTAACTTTATTTAGCAAAATCTTATCTTTTAGGACACTAAATGTAAATATATTGAAAGAAAAAAAAAATCTAACACTAATGATAAGAAAGTGAAATTAATGTCACAGGAAACTTACATGTTCCGTGAATCTAGGACAATTTACACAGTTATATTTGGAGAACTTTTCCTTCATCAATTCTAAAGATCGAAATTTCTCCACCAGCTCTATATCTCTAAGATGAAGGTCTTTAATTGGGTCAAGGCCAGGTAGTCCATCGCTATTGGTTTCTGTTAAACGTAGAAGCTCTTGAGTTGCCGTGGTAACCGACTGAGAGGGTGGATCATTTCTGAAAACAGTGATTTTCATTTCATTAACAATTATATTGCTCAATTTCTTAAATGGACTTGTCCAGCTTCAACTTTTGGAACTGTCCATTATCCAAGTTTAGGGCTATCAAAATTTGAAATGGTTCACCAAAAGTACATGTAGTATCAGTCAACACTGCTGGCCAGCCTGGCTCTATACTGGTGGCAAAGGTACATCAACTTTGGTTCTAGTAGGGTCAAGTTTAGAAATAAACTGCCACTTAAATATCATTAATGGATTACAAAAATTTCATTGTGGATTTATCACTCTAATAATCGTCTAATAATCGGAGAAAATTGAATTAGCAAAAGATGCATGCACAAATAAAGTTGAACTATATTAAAAGTATTGTTATAGAAAAGCTATGATGAAAAAAATTAACTTCATGATATGCATCTATGTCAGCAAATAACAATATAAAGTCAGAACTGATATAAAGATATGTATCTTAACTAAAATTCAATTTATATAAAAATATCCTTCATAAACTTTATATATATTCATTGATATAAGCGTCACTGTTTATGTTTATGATGCACATTGATATATTTTTAGTTATACAAGTTGCTGTTGGATATGTGGGAGAATATAGCCTGAATGAGATAAATATGACCAGAGACCCTAGCCGAGGGTTATAATTATGTCAGCTAGGCTATATATTTTCCCATATATCTAGTTACTAACTTGTATAACCATTTTATAATTATGCAAATTGTTATTGATGCTAAATTCAAAAGAAAACCTAGCAACTTTGAACTGTTTTCAAAGAAGCGCAGGAAAAATGCACAATTTTGATGTCGGATGTAACTAGGATGACGTCAATAGAAAGTAGTTCACTTATAAATTCATCTTAGCAGTGCAACTTTTAAATTAATCTAAATTTTTGAAGTAATGACTTTTTGAACCTAGAAATATGCCATTAAGAACAAAATGCAATAATAAAATTATTGACCCACATAAATAACCATCTACTATGTGCAAATACCTAGTATTTATTTTGCATGCTTCCATTCCTCACTGTATAAACAACATAGTATACAAAATGTTAAGCCAATCAGAATTCTAGAAATTTATTCGCATCATTATAAATATTTCTATAATGCAGAAAAATTAAAATCTGTTGAAAAGCTTTTAAACAATACATGTAGTTAAATTACCTGAATCTTGGTTGCTCTCTCTTTTTCACATCATTAATTATCTTTTCACCATCAATTCTTATTGTTTTCGTTGTTACTATGGCAATAGAGTCAGCTTTACATTGCACCATTTCATGCCAACAGGCTCCTTCCGGTTGGAACAATTTCGTTTTTATCACAGGTGCCACAGCATTACTTTCTTCTGATTTGTTACTATTAATAGCACTGTTACTATTTATAGCACTGTCACTATTTTTAGAACTATCACTATTTTTATCACAGATGACTAAAATTGTGAAGTTTCTTTCATTGTTGGCACCAGAGGATGATTTTAATACAACACCAAGCACCTCATTATTTACTGCGTGATTAACGATGACTACACGTCCTGGAGACAATGCTTTCACAGCTGCAGGGTGTGATAAAATAATACCCTGTAAATAAACAAACAAACAAAAAATGTGTCAAAATTTTATCTTTCTTTAACTAGGGTTCTTAAATTTGAAACATAAAACTTACTTCTTTTTTAAAATGATCACAACACATACGTAATAAGCTATAAACAGTTTCACAAATTTACTCACTATAAAAGAACATGTATCACATAAAAGACCCTTTATCAAATGTTATTTGAAACTTTTCATCTAGTATGTACAAGTTTCTATCTTTAGCAGTAATATCTCACTAATACAAAGGCCTTTTTTCTCTGTAAAATTACCCTAGCTACAAAGGAAGCATTCCCATTGCCAACAAGTATTTATTTTACAAATTTAGCCACTTTTACTACTTGGCATGGTGGTGGTGTTGGTAGTTCTTACTCCAGATCATTGCATAAAAATTCATTGAATTTACCAGAGCATAGTTCAGCTTACGCATCGTTCCTGAGAAGGCTGTCAGGTAGTTTATTAGTACTAGTTGCCTTCACTTTAGCAAGGAACTGATAATTTCTGTACATGCCAGAGCAGAGGTAAAGTGAGAATGACTCTAGAAAGGATTTCATGATCAATCACAAAAGTGACCTACACCGTCCCGGAATCAAACCTGTGTACCCTGATTTGTGCAATACTCTACCTATTGAGCTTACCAGACTTAGCATTAAAGGCCTCTCAAGTTTAACACCAAAAAAACTCCTGCAAAGTATTTAAATGACCACAAAGATGTACAATTTGTAAGAAATATACCTGAAGATGTTTTTGTAGATCATGATAGTCTCTGCAAGCTTCCCAGTATGTTTCCAGGTCATTAGAACACATAAAACATTCTATATCCTCCAGATCAGACACTTTCTTATGTAACTGTAGAAAAAGATACATTGTATATTTGCATTTTCTATAACATGTATTTCATTTAATTACTACTACATTAGTAGATTACTGAAATTTGGAGGTGAGTTACATTTGAATAATTTCATGACAACTTTATCGAAAAAAATTTCAGTCTACATAAATTGCAAACATATTTATCAACAAATGCAAATTCAAGCTAAAATAGCTCCATCATAAATAAAGAATACACAAATATAAGATAAATGGACGCTCATAAAAATTTGCACACTTCATGTTAAAGATGTTTCCACTAGTTTTCACATTTTTATAAAAAGGCAAAGAAAGCAAATTTAAACAAGATAACTACTACTAATCCAACAAGAGGGCCATGATGGCCCTAAGGTCGCTTACCTGTATGTAGGCCCCCGGAGCGGGGCCAGTTTAAACCCCAGGGCTTTTATTTGAACAAACTTGGAAGACACCTATAAGAAGACGTTTCATGATGTACACACTTATAATGAAAAACAATGATCTGCCCTCCCCTTCCCCCGGCAGGGCCAATTTTAACCAAGGGCTTTTATTTGAACTTGGTAGACACCCATAAGAAGATGTTTCATGCTAAACATCTAAGCTGTAGCTCATTGTGTTTTTTTAATGAAGATCTTTTAAGTTTTTACTATACACATATAGTTAAAAACAATGACACCCCTGGGGCGGGGCCAGTTTTGACCCCAGGGCTTTTATTTGAACAAACTTGGTAGACACTTACTAGAACATGTTTCATGCTTAATATCTAAACTCTAGCTATTTGGGTTTTTTCAAAGATGTTTTTTAAGTTTTTCCTATACACATATAAGGAAAATCAATGACCCCCGAGGCAGGGCCAATTTTGACCCCCGGGCTTTTATTTGAACAAACTTTGTAGACACTCACTAGAAGATGTTTCATGCTTAATATTTTAACTCTAGCTATTTAGATTTTTTCAAAGAATACTTTTTAAGTTTTTGCTATACACATATATAAGGAAAATCAATGACCCCCGGGGCGGGGCCAATTTTGACCCCAGGGCTCTTATTTGAACAAACTTGGTAGACACCCATTAGAACATGTTTCATGCTAAATATCTTAGCTATTGCTCTTTGAGTTCTTTAAAAGAAGATTTTTTTAAGTTTTTACTATATACATATAGGGAAAATCAATGACCCCCTGGGGCTCGGCCAATTTTGACCCTAGGGCTTTTATTTGAACAAACTTGGTAGACACCCATTAGAACATGTTTCATGCTAAATATCTTAGCTCTAGCTCTTTGAGTTTTTTAAAAGAAGATATTTTAAGTTTTTACTAAATACATATAGGGAAAAAAAATGACCCCCTGGGGCGGGGCCAATTTTGACCCCAGGGCTTTTATTTGACCAAACTTGGTAGACACCCATTAGAACATGTTTCATGCTGAATATCTTAGCTCTGGCTCTTTTGGTTCTATAAAAGAAGATTTTTTAAGTTTTTACTATATACATATAGGGAAAATCAATGAGCCTCTGGGGCGGGGCAATTTTGACCCCAGGGCTTTTATTTGAACAAACTTGGTAGACACCCATTAGAACATGTTTCATGCTAAATATCTTAGCTCTAGCTCCATGAGTTCTTTAAAAGAAGATTTTTAAATTTTTACTATATGCATATAGGGAAAATCAATGCCCCCCTGGGGCGGGCCCATTTTGACCCCAGGGCTTTTATTTGAACAAACTTGGTAGACACTCATTAAAAGATGTTTCATGCTAAATATCTTAGCTCTAGCTCTTAAGGTTCTTTAAAAAAAGATTTTTTTAAGTTTTTACTATATGCATATAGGGAAAATCAATGACACCCTGGGGCAGGGCCAATTTTGACCCCAGGGCTTTTATTTGAACAATCTTGGTAGACACCCATTAGAACATGTTTCATGCCAAATATCTAAGCTCTAGCTCTTTGGGTTCTTTAAAAGGAGATTTTTTAAGTTTTTACTATATGCATATAGGGAAAATCAATGACCCCTTGGGGCGGGGCCAATTTTGACCCTAGGGCTTTTATTTGAACAAACTTGGTAGACACTCATTAGAAGATGTTTCATGCTAAATATCTTAGCTTTAGCTCTTTGGGTTCTTTAAAAGAAGATTTTTTAAGTTTTTACTATATGCATATAGGGAAAATCAATGACACCCTGGGGCGGGGCCAATTTTGACCCCAGGGCTTTTATTTGAACAATCTTGGTAGACACTCACTAGAAGATGTTTCATGCCAAATATCTAAGCTCTAGCTCTTTGGGTTTTTTAAAAGAAGATATTTAAAGTTATTTCTTTTGGTTGCCATGGCAACCAGAGTTCTGCATGGAATTAAATTTTTTGAACAATTTTTAAAGGTGACCACCAAAGGAACATTCCTGTGAAGTTTGGATGAAATTGGCTTAGTGGTTTATGAGGAGATGTCATTTAAAGTAAAAGTTTACGGACGGACGGACGGACGACGGACGAAAAGCGATCACAAAAGCTCACCCTGTCACTTTGTGACAGGTGAGCTAACAAGAGCTGTCAGAAGGACAGCGCGCTCGACTTTTTTAGTGCTTGCCTATAAAACAAAACTTTGACAGTTAAGGGCACACAAGACTTTAACTAGGAATTTCTAAGTACAAATCAAGAAACATTTTCACAGAGTTATCTTCTCTTGCTTACAGATAGGTCTCATGATGGCACATAAGAACTCCAACTTCCAAAGTAATATCTCAAATGGTTAAGTCAACAAGTGGACAAGAATGAAAATCTTAACTGAGTTTCTAAGTCAAAAAGGGCCATAATTCAAATAAAATCCTTAACAGAATTACCTTCTCCTGCCCATGTTTTGGGACCATGATGGTAAACAAGTATTCCAACTTTCAAATTAATATCTCAAACAGTTCAGTCAAAAAGTGGACTGGTACTAAAAAACTTAACCAAGATTCTAAGTCGATAAAAGGCCTTAATTTTTAAAACACAAATCCTTGACAGAGTTACCTTCTCTTGCGTACAGATGGGGGTAATGATGTGAAATAGCATTAAAAGTTTCAAAGCAATATCTCAAAGGGTTAAGGCAATAAGTGGATTTTACCCATATTCAATGTATTTTCTAAGTCAAAAAGGGGCATAATTCTGTCAAAAACCTTGACAGAGTTATGTCCTCTTGTCTGTTGATGAAGGTCGTGATGGTAAACAAGTATGGTCAGTTTCAAAGCAATACCTCCAATGGTTTTGAAATAAAGTGAGGTGGTACAAAAAACTTAACCAAGCTCAATACACTTTCTAAGTCAAAAAAGGGCCATAATTCTGTCAAAAACCTTGACAGAGTTATGTACTCTTGTCTGTAGATGGAGGTTATGATGGTGAACAAGTATGGTAAGTTTCAAAGCCATACTTGTAATACTTCTGAAATAAAGTGGGGTGGTACGAAAAACTTAACCAAGGTGTGACGCCAACGCTAACGCCGACGCCGACGCCGACGCCGGGGCGAGTAGGATAGCTCCCCTTTTCATAGAAAAGTCGAGCTAAAAATGAATCAGCTGTGTAAGGCAAATGACCATTAGACTCCAAGTTCAAGATAAGCAAAGACTAAGAAATATTGCCTCACTTATGGATCACACCAGCACATCTGGATTACATATCCCATGCTCTCCCTATTAAGTTCAGTTGAAATGCTTTATATAGTGTGAAACATTTGTCAATTGTTTTACAATTTCAACATCAAAACATGTTAGTAACAGGCAAATTTTACCACTTGTAGATCTTCTTTTCTTTTTGCCACGTCTTTCTGGCTGTGAAACTCTGAGAAGCTTCTTTTCATCATATCCTCCACACGTAGCTGCTCAACACGTAGTAGATTAAGAATCATTGAGTATGTCAACCGGAATCGGGACTGCAACAGTGTTGGCTTGCCCTTAAAATAAGTAAAGTTTTTAGTAATATAGTTTTTCTAGGCCATTTTCTGAGAGAAAAGCCTTTTTTAACAAAGGGAAAAAACATTTTCTCACAATTTTATAACTAAAGTTATCAAGTTTACAGAGATTTAAACTTTAAATTTAAATTTACTAGAAATTTAAGGATTGTTAGCCATGTGGGTTTGAACCCTGTCAGGGGCAAGCTGTTGCTTCCTTGAGCAAGAAGTATTAAACTTATTGCTCAGTGCTAAGTGTTTCAGGGATCAGATTCCAGAGTGTGTCTATAAGCTTGAATTGCTAAAATAAAATCTACATAACTAAATCACCATGCTTAGTTAACAAACTTTTTTGCCCTGAGATGCAAAATACAAATTTATTACTAGATTAATTACATGTACAACAATACTTACCAACATCATTTTATGAAGGTCAGACATTTCTGGTACATCACCCTTACACAGTATGATTACAGTGCCAGTTGTGTCAAGGCCACGTCTTCCAGCCCGACCTGCCATCTGTATATACTCTCCAGGTAACAAATCTCTGTAAATTGAAAAATTATCGTGAATTTTATGGAGAAATTTAAACTTTGATTTTCTTCTAATCTATTCTTCTTTAAGTTACCCAGCTGGAAATGAAAGCGCTAAAGCCTATGCCGCCAGCTGGCCCTTCGGAATTTCCATATAATCTGACCAGGCTCTACACTGTTGATGCCTCAAATATTTTCTCGTACATGGAATGGACTGCTCTAACTAAATTCAAAGCAAGGCAAAACCATTTTGTAAATTTAGGCAGTTTAAGCCTATGACAAAATTCTGCTGTGAAAATTTCATTTTATTCCCTTCAAGACCTAATGTTTTATTTCCATTCATGACATAAAAAATGAAATGAAAAATCCTTTTATATAAAATCATTTCATGTTTAAACTAATGCTGTGCTTACTCCAATACATGAATAACCTTTGGCTAAATCAACAAGTCAATACAAGAGTTTTATTTGCCTGTACTATTTCATTTAATGGAATAAGAGTTTTTCAAATTTATTCGATATATCCTGATGAAACAGAGTGGAACTTACCTAAAATGTGTGCCATCATGTTTTCTGATGGAGTCAAACACAACAGTTCTGGCTGGCATGTTGACACCCATAGCAAATGTCTCTGTAGCAAATAATATCTGAAGTCGGAAAATTAAAAATATCTCAAATAAGACAGTAAAATAAAATGTAATATTAACAAACAAAAATTACTGTAAAATCAGAGTTTTTGAATTGTTGTTTTTTTATGTAAGTTGTGTTTTTGAATAACATTGTATTATTTTTTATGCAAGTGGGGTTTTCAAGATACACAAACACAGTTATCATGTAGCGACTTTTCTAGCTTTACTGGTGCTGAAAGACACTTGTCATTTTAGGCACAAGCAGGTACCCAAGTAGAACAAAAAACTTTTATAAGCTACCGAAAGACTAGTAGCTTCCTATCATAGGAAACTACAAGCCTTCAGGTAGCTTACATGAGGCAGTGTCCCAAGAACAACGCCAACCCACAGCTGAATGACCACAGGAGCCCAAAAATTGTATTATTTTATGATAAAAAATGCAAATATTTAAGCAATCAACTTAAATACAGTTCAAACAAATGTAAATGATCCCTTGTTTTAACTTATGAAACAAGAAATTTCAGCTCTATATCATTAAATAAGAGAATTTATTCACATCATGTCATTTCATTAAATCTAAAAACCACTTAACAATATACTTTAAAACTAACTTAACAATAGCATTCAAAAGTTACCCAACAGTCTGTAGAGATCATTATGAGAAATTATTTCAAAAAATGATGTAATAACTTTAGGCCCACAACTGTGGCATTCAAAAATTCCCCGATATTAATGAAAGACCTGTGGATGCCACAAAATTTTATCTTTATAATATAAAATTATCTCAAACCACTTACTTTAACAAGACCTTTCTGAAACAGAAGTTCTACCACCTCCTTCAGTATAGGTAAAATACCGCTATGATGTACTCCTATACCCCTCTTCAATGTATCTTCCATGTGTAAAACCTGTTATAAAAGTAGCAGGCAATATATCTATTTATTTGATAATATTCTTCATAAGAAAGTAGCTCTGTGAACTCCTTGATGCACGTTGATTAATTTGATAAAGTACCGTATAAGTACTTTTTTCTGCGGGAACTTTATTTCTGCTATTTCTGCGGTTTATAACGACACCGCAGATTTAAAAACCGCGAAAATTAAGCCTTTCGCTATGTCTACATGAATGTCGGAATATGTCAACTACATGTATTGCATAATTACATTACCATGTACCGTTATCAGCTTTTGTAGATGGGAATAATTTTTCTTTATGTATCCGTCATGAATAAAATATTAGAAAAAAGTTACCTTACTTGTTCTTTTTGTTTAAAAAATATCATGTTTGTATGATTTTCGCTCACCCTAAGCTTGATTTATTTTAAAAATAAAACTATTACAGTTAGACGGGTGCAATAAACATTACCCTTTTGTAATTGTACAATATATTGTGTCTAAGTGCGATATTACATTGTTTACAGTACTGGACACGCGAAACCCGCACAATTCGCGTATTCGCGGCGAACTCTCATGCTTTATAACGCGAGCGAATTCGCGGCAACTTGAGACAATCGCCGCGAATTCAACTCGCGGCGATTTTGCCGTGAACATTTGCCGCGATTCGCGGGGAATAATACATGTTCATTTGTATAATAAATGTAGATCTATTTATAAGTGTAGTCTGTGAACTTGAAACCAGATATACATGTACAAGTACGAAAAATTAATTAGTAGATCTACATGAAGTTGTATCAAGAAAATCTTGTAATTTGCTAAAATGCCCTTTCTCTATTTATCTTTGATGCCAACAGCAAAATATAAATAACCACGGCGAAATCAAAATAACACCGTTAAAAACTTTCCGTGAATGGCGGAATCATGACCTCAATGTATAAATGCGACGCAGTACAAGTATGCGGCTCCATCTGCAGGTAAATAGTGTGCATGTACACGTGTAAAACTATTTTTAGGGGGGGGGGGGGGTACATATTGAGTTTAAAGTAGAGATATAAATATAATATATGTGTAAAAAGATATTTGGTTACATAAAAAGATACATAATTGATACGACATTAACTTGTTCATTTCTAAATGTAGTGGATCACCGGGACATTTCGTTCTCTCGGGTGATCATTACTCAATTTATTACACGTTTGTAAAAAATAACACACGCAAGATTTGTCTGCTATAATTTCTGAATGGCGGATATTTGCACCCCTGTTTTAAAAATGTTAAAATATTTAATTGTTAGTTACCGAAAATTATCGCCGATTGTTGAAATTCCATAGCGCTAAAAGACACAAAAACACTCGCGCAAAAAGAAGCATCCATAAATAAAAGGAATATAATGTTTCCATTGTTAAATAATAAATACAAAATTTACACATGAAATGACCTCTGACAAATGACTGGTCGGCTCTTCTGAAGAATCTGTGAATCTTTGATGTTTACAAGCCTGTAGTTGTTGCCGAATCATCAAAGAAATGCCGACACTCGATTGTTTTTCACCTCTTTTTTATATATCAGAAAAAAACTGTCATTTCTTTTTGTCAAGGAATGATTACACATGTTTAATTATTGCTCAAGTAAAAAAAATGTTGGATATTGATTGTGTCAATTATTGACATATTATTAATCGTAAGTGCATTTTGATTGTGATATTTTATTTACATTTCTCATCACCTACTCATGCACCTGGCATTTTTTTACTCGTGAAATTGAAGGTAAAGAATGTCAATTTAAGTGATAAAACTTTTACAATTTTCAACAATCATAATTAGCGTATTAGACGTAATAATTAGTTACACCTGTGAATCGGTGCTAAATGTCGCTTTGCATTGTTCTAAAAATAGAATATGTGCGAAAGTAAACAATGGATTTTAATTACATTTGTATTATTATCAAAATAACAATTGGACAATTTGTTATCGTGCGTTCTTTGATGTAGTACCAATTACCTTTTGTAATTTCAATCTCGTTTTATTGTTAACTAATTTTCACCAGCACCTGATTGCTTTGTTTTAATATACAAAATGTATACGCTGTACATGTTCAAATGCTAAATATTTATAAATATACAAGACGTTTACAAGATTTTTTTAAAGTTTTCAAAATTAAAGATCACGGGAATTAAGGACCAAGTAGTACTTTCTAATACAATTATTGCTGAAGATTCGCCGTAAATTACGGCGATACATCGCGGCGATTTTTCGTGACCCGCCACGAAATTCGGCGAACTTGCACGCGGCGATGTTTTACCGCGAAGTGTCCCGTCGCGACATAGACTACACTCGCGGCATAACGCGACTTTTGCGGGTTTCGCGTGTCCAGTACTGTATTTTTCACACTTCATATTTATACACATGCAGTATTACAATTAATTGTTGTCATTGCATGTTGTTGATTTTTGTTTATTAACGTTTTGTTTATTGTGTTCATTGAACGCCACCTTTCCTTGTTGATCTTGTTTATCATATTTTATATACCGATACATGGTGATCACATGAACACACATTATAAGTCGTCTGCATGTTTACCGGAAGTAATATACATGTTACATCAACATATCTTGAAATGTTGTCTGTTTGTATCGGTTAATTTTGTAAAAATATCTAAATTAAAACGCAGAAATAAAAAACATCGATGCGAGAATGATGACACCGCAGAAATAAGATACGCAGAAATTTAAAACCCCTTATTTTAAACAAAATCGCAGAATTTTAAGCCCGCAGAAATAAGTACTTATACGGTATCTTGCTTTGATATGATACAAGATGGTTTCATAAAATACATACATACCTAAATCTATTAACCCTTATCTGCTGAATTTGTAAAATGAATTTGCCTAGCTCAGAATTTGAAACATTCTATTTAAAGTTTAAGGAAACTCAATTTCAAAATATAACAAAAGAAACTGCCAGGCAGACCACGCTATGTTTTTCTATTTCCAAAGTCAAACAATTTGGAGGAAGAATATTGTAGCAAAGAATGTTCCTGGAAAACATTATTTTCTTGTACAAAATATAGTCAAAATTTCATATCTGACCTTGACAGTCAAGGTCATTTACATATCAAGATCATATTTAAATTATTCGACATGTCAGTGTTGCAGTAAGTGTTGTCTTGTCCAAGTTTGAATCAAATCTGTCCAATTATAATTAATAATAATTAATAACAAAGTTCTGACAATTCAAGCAAAATGCAATAGTTTGACCTTGAAGGTCAATGTCAATTACAGGTATAGGTCATTTTTTAAAAATCTCCTTTAATGTCTAGTCAAAAGAACTGTTGTGTCAAAGTATGAAGATAATCCATTCATTAATTACGAAAGCAATATAACCACCTATAACCATCAATTAATCTCACAGATAATAGATGGACAGTTTACGGTAAAATATCTCCATTGAGGTATGCCAGCCACCACAACAAGTAATAAACTTAAATTTTTTTTACCTGAGGTAGTTGTTGATCAGAACCTTTCAGTCGTTTGATAGAACTATGAAAGAAGATATGTATTTCACTTTTCTCCTTGGCCGTGGTCAGATCCAGGCTATGCAGATTGTTGGCATTTTCATCAATTTTCTTCTTCGAAAAGGTGAAGGCCACCACAGGTAATTTTTCTTTCTTCTTCAACATGTCTATCACTGACAGCCATACATTCTTATCCTGTACATAATTGAAGATTTATTAACTGTTAGTAAGTAGTGGTCTAAAAAATTTCAATTAGTGGGATCTAAGAAAATTAGAAAATACAATAATAGCACTTAATGTAAATAAAATTCTGCCTAAACAAAAGTTCCAATGAAAGTCAGTCCGCTTTACTCAGAAAAACGCAAAATGAATTTGAAGTGTTTTTCTCTCCTTTGTCTAGTATATAAAAGGGAAAATCCTACCAAATCATCCAGAGCAGAAAAAGAAATTAAAAAACCTGGAATTCAGAAAAAATTGTGAAAGCCTTGCCCCATGTATGAAGATCCTAGTGGTTCATCCATTTACTAAAAGAATGATACAATCAATGTAAAAGTACAAAAACCATTTCTGACTTAAATGATGGGTTGATAAACATCAAATATAAAGCACAACAGACCTGACTTGGGTGACCTCCTCTGTGACCTTTGGCGCCAAAACTCTGTGAACTTTTTGAGGCTCTCTCTTTCTTTGCATCGATTGCTTTCTGGTAACTGGTGGAATATAAGAGCACTATTAACATAAAACTGTATAATAATATTGAGTAAAAGTTAAAACACACTTCCAGAATTATATCTTTACGTCAATGAGTGTGAAAAAAAAATTGTGTAGCTTGACAGTTATAAAAATGCTGGATCTTTGTTTAGTGCTAACATGCTCGAAAAACAATGAGTTCTATGCACAGTCCTTCACACTCTAACATCTTCCCTATCCGACCTTAAATTGCCATATTTGTGTAATGGATATGCCCAGTTTTGAATTTGGAATAATCCATTACAAAGTTTAAGGGACCTCAATATCAAAATACAAAAATTTTGAAATTATCTTATGTAGCGACATACACCCTTATTGAATGAAAATGTGGAGTAATGAATCTAAGAGCTGTAACTTGGATAGACAATTGATATTAGACATTGAGTTTAATGGTCGTTTATCTCTAACCACTGATTCAGAAATCAAATGGGGTTGGTTAGTTGTCAAACACTTATGGAGAAATTGGCAATTCCTGGTTATTTATCCAGGAAAGCTGGTTAGGTGAAAATGACCCAGAAGGGATTGAAATTGACATAAAAACAAACACACAGATAAAATGTACAATATTAAAGGAACTCCACTGTAGTCCAAAGACCTAAAAATCTAAAATTTAATGTTTTTAAAAATATCAGCATGAAAAAAATAAAACAGAAAGATGTGCAAAAGATGTGTCCTCAAATGTATAATGAAGAAATGTCAAAAAACCTCAGTGAAGTCCCTTTAAAGACATGGAAAGGAAATGACCCTACAACTTACCCTGTAGTACTAAAACTGCCTTTAGCATCAACAATTCTGAAGAGTTCACTGCTAGTTTTATTACTGTTTCCTGTGTACAGGAAGTGCTCTAGGGGTACAGGTCTCTTTGTTGTGCTTATAACATATATCTTCTTCTTTTTTGTTCTCCTGTTAAACAAAAAGTAACCTATTTCAATATCACTAACTTTAACAAATATAATATTAAATTAGGCAAAGCCTTTGAACGTGGAAGTCGGTCAGGAAAATCATTCAATTTATTTGTTTTTAAGGTGCCAATTAGTATTTCAGGCACCGCTTCAGTTTATTAATCCAAAAAGTTGCGATTGTTCCATTTTTGGAATTATAATTCTTTTGGGCATATAAAAAGGAAGAACATCAATTACTGGTACACTGCTGAATGCACCTTTATATCAACCCATGTAATCAGTGCAAACCAAAACCAGCCCTTTTTTGGAACTGTCGCTAGGGCTATTAAGATGAAAATTTAAAGTTATTTTGCCAACAGTATAGAGTCTGGTCAGACTGCACGGACATGCGAGCTGACCTGGCTCCTTACCTGTGGTAATGGCTAATGTCTTTTGGTTCCAGCAGGCTAAAGGTTTTAAAATCTGAATGAGATGAAATTATAACATACCCGATCCATGCAGCGAATTCTATAGTATTAGGTACAGTTGCACTAAGTAGAATAATGTTAACATGCTGGGGTAGCATGATTAATACCTCCTCCCACACTACACCTCTCTGTAAATATATATATAATGCAAGCACTTCAGAAGCATGTTTGAAAAGAACAAAATATAATAAAACATATATTCTACAGAAAACTAGAAACAAAGAGCACTGCATGTAGTGTTAACACTCATCTGTTAAAATAATCACTTTTTACAAAAAATTTAAGTTCTAAGGGGCATAACTACAAAAATTTAGCTTTCAGAATTATGCCCCTTGTCTAAAACTGCATAAGCAAGTATTCCAAGCTTCATGTTGATATTTTTTAAAATGTGAGAATAATGGGCTACATTTAAGTTTTTGCACAAGGACAATGGCACACCAATTATAACAGCTGGACTTTTTCTTAGAAACGATGAAGGTGAATTTCCAATAATCAATTTTGGTTAACAAAAAAGGAATTTCTAGCACCTTTTTTTAACAACTTTTTTTTAAAGACGGGGTAAAAAAACAAGAGGGCCATGATGGCCCTGAGGTCGCTCACCTGTATATAGGCCCCCCCAACCCCCACCCTCCCCTCCCCAACGTTGCAGGGCCAATTTAACCCAAGGGCTTTTATTTGCACAAACTTGGTAGACACCCATAAGAAGATGTTTCATGCTAAACATCTAAGCTCTAGCTCATTGGGCTTTTTAAAAGAAGATTTTTTTTAAGTTTTTACTATACACATATAGTTAAAAACAATGACACCCCTGAGGCCGGGCCAGTTTTGACCCCAGGGCTTTTATTTAAACAAACTTTGTAGACACTTACTAGAAGATGTTTCATGCTTAATATCTAAACTCTAGCCATTTGGGTTTTTTCAAAGAAGATTTTAAGTTTTTGCTATACACATATAAAGAAAATCAATGACCCCCCGGGGCGCAGGTCTTTTATTTGAACAAACTTTGTAGACACTCACTAAAAGATGTTTCATGCTTAATATCTTAACTCTAGCTATTTGGGTTTTTTCAAAGAAGATTTTTTAAGTTTTTGCTATACACATATAAGGAAAATCAATGACCCCCCGGGGCTGTGCCAATTTTGACCCCAGGGCTTTTATTTGAACAAACTTGGTAGACACCTATTAGAACATGTTTGATGCTAAATATCTTAGCCATAGCTCTTTGAGTTCTTTAAAAGAAGATTTTTTAAGTTTTTACTATATGCATATAGGGAAAATCAATGACCCCCTGGGTCGGGGCCAATTTTCACCCCAGGGCTTTTATTTCAACAAACTTGGTAGACACTTATTAGAACATGTTTCATGCTAAATATCTTAGCTCTAACTCTTTTGGTTCTTTAAAAGAAGATTTTTTAAGTTTTTACTATATGCATATAGGGAAAATCAATGACCCCCTGGGGCGGGGCCAATTTTGACCCCAGGGCTTTTATTTGAACAAACTTTGTAGACACCTATTAGAACATGTTTGATGCTCAATATCTTAGCCATAGCTTTTTGAGTTCTTTAAAAGAATTTTTTTTAAGTTTTTACTATATGCATATAGGGAAAATCAATGACCACCCCCGGGGCGGGGCCAATTTTGACCCCAGGGCTTTTATTTGAACAAACTTGAACAAACTTGGTAGACACCCATTAGAACATGTTTCTTGCTAAATATCTTAGCTCTAGCTCTTTGGGTTCTTTAAAAGAAGATTTTTTAAGTTTTTACTATATGCATATAGGGAAAATCAATGACCCCCCGGGGCGGGGCCAATTATGACCCCAGGGCTTTTATTTGAACAAACTTGTTAGACACTCACTAGAAGATGTTTCATGCCAAATATCTAAGCTCTAGCTCTTATGGTTTTTTAAAAGAAGATATTGAAAGTTTTTTCTTTCGGTTGCCATGGCAACCAGAGTTCTGCATGGAATTAAATTCTTTGAACAATTTTTAAAGGTGACCACCAAAGGAACATTCCTGTGAAGTTTGGATGAAATTGGCTTAGTGGTTTATGAGGAGATGTCATTTAAAGTAAAAGTTTACGGACGGACGCCGGACGGACGCCGGACGGACGCCGGACGAAAAGCGATCACAAAAGCTCACCCTGTCACTTTGTGACAGGTGAGCTAAAAATTGGTCTGAAAATTTCAATAAATGTCTTCCTCTTTTATACCTCAGCATCATTGATGTAATGGACCTCGTCAAATATGACCCATTCTAAATCTCTAATCACATCGGATCCGTTGTACAACATTGACCTGTAAAATTATAATATTACAATATCTGAAAATAAAACCATCAGAAAATAAAACCCATTAACACTTATTTCTGTTCAACATATAATTTATTCTAATATCAAAAACTGCTCAACAATCAAAACTATATTACAGACATCAAGATATCAATTATCAACCATTTAACTTCATAACTTGAGTTCATTATTTGTTTTTTTGAAATAAATACAATTATTCTTAAAGCTTTTAAAAAAAACAATTTCTTCGTAAAAGACCAACTACTGTCCCACATAATGAACATTCCTAGTGTTTACAGTTTTATGCAAATTGGCCAAACAGCTACCCAATAACTATACTGGCATAATACAAACTCACTGGTTTTATTTGTTTTACTGTTTGTTAGTAGTTGACATATCAATGAATAGAATATAATAAATATTTTCACTGCTAAAAACTAGAATGGTCACTTCCTGAATCAGCTGTCACAGACAATTTACATGCCATGTCCAATCAAATTCTCACTCAGAAGTTTTTCTTCCCCTGAGGATCAACCAGCCATCCTTGCATTATAAATCAAATGCTATCCCTATTGAGTCAAGTGGTTGGACACAAAGGGACGACCTCATTACTAGAAGAAAACACTTCTTTTATGATAATTTGAAATACTGACAAACATTTTATACCTTATACAATCAGCAGACCTACCTGAGAATTTCTGTGGTCATTATAAGGCAGGCAGCAGTTTGATTGATCTGTACATCTCCAGTTATCAACCCTACATCATTGAATGTTTGCTTGAAATCTCGGTACTTCTGATTGGACAATGCCTTAATAGGTGATGTATACACTGTCCTAAAATATTACAAAACTTTCTGTGTATTCATGTAACAACTTTCTGCATTATTAATAATACTACTATTCACATTATTGGGTTTTGAATTAAAAAGGGGTGAAGTGGTTAAAGTAGCCTGAGGTGTCTGCCACTCAACTCTAGGATCTAGGGTTCAAGCTCAAGTTGGCATATCACCCTATTTCCTTACATAACACCACTACTGGTTAGTCAAAAGAAGCAGACATGAGAAAATAATTTAAATAACCATTGTTTACCTCTAATATGGCTTTTAAAGACAAAAACTGCTTAATTTTTATGCAATGCCATGTAGTTAAAGGTCTTTCAACAGAAAGAGCATTTACAGAAGGCTCTATACAAGTTTAATTCCAAATACATGTAATTACATATTCATATAGTACTACAAACAATAAGCTAAAGTGTTATATAAACCAGTAGCTTATTGGCTGCTTCAGAACCTACCCATGTGACCAGCTTAGACCATGATCAGATAGCACAGATGATGACTGATCTGTAACACATATCATGGCACTGCTTGCTATTCAGTCAGTACACATTTTGAAATTCTCCCTAAAAATGATAAATGGTTTTGTCCAGATTGAAAGATGGACAAGTCCATTTCAGACAATTGGCAAGGTAAGAGTTAATGAATTGCATGTATATCGTTATACCTTGTCATATGTTTAAGAGATAAGGCTATTGCATATTCAGCTACCACAGTTTTACCAGCTGATGTATGGGCCGCTACAAACACACTGTCATGGCTCTCCAGATGAAGTATTGCCTGTTTCTGGAACACATCCGGTTCAAATGGCCACTAAAATAAAAGAAATTTTTTTTTATTACTTTTTTTAGCCTTGATGACAATGTAAAAGTCATATCACTATTTTGCCGCTTTTACTGGTAACAGAAGACCTCAGATGTCAGGTACAAGAAGGCATCAATGTGGCACAATCTGACTTAAATCAGCTCCTAATTAACGCTTAGCATTAGGATTTGATAAACACCAATAGGAGGTCAATTTCTCATGACCTTTCAAACAGACAATCATTGGTGAGCTTTCATATTTTTGAAAGCAACACTGTTTCTTGTTTTCACCACTGGAAAACCAATACTGAGCAGGTAATTTTCACGGTTTCGAAAGCAAACATGGTGCCCTTTATATAGACGTCAGGTAAACTGGCATAACAATCTTGTCCATTACATAAATATTTAGTCTATTATTTCCAGTCTTTTTGTTTCAAATTACTTCAAACATTTTTTCCATACAATTTTACTTCCACAAACAGCGATATTTTAATACTTTATCTTATGCCTATCTGTCAAGGATGATTTGACTGCATGGCTTAAAATATCTTTCTCTGGAAATCAAATTCACAACAAAGGCGGAACAAATATGGCGGCAATCAAATCTACATGCAAGAAATAACTTATAATAAATCTGAACTTGAGTCAGATTGAAAAATCACACAATCCACTTTCCATACACTTGCTTGATAGCTTCCTTACATGAAAGACTCATATGTCCCTGACAATCAAGGGCAGGTAATCCATAGTAAGAAAGTTAATTGACTTGGCCATGAGATCCTCCTATACTATATGTACAGATACAGTTTAATAAGCTCTAAACCTGACAAATCTGTAAAATGGATTGTCCAATGTTTAAGGAATTTCAGTATCTAAATGCAATAATTGAGCTACCAACATCATAAAGCCTGGTCAAACTGCATAAATGTGCATATCCAGGCTAGACTGTCTCTATATTGCAGGCACAGACTTGTAATTATTATGCCTATCATCATGGAGCTTATGTTTATTGTCGTAACATTATGATATACTGAACAGTCAGATATGTTTGAATCATAAATTGTTGTAAAGGAGTAAATTTTAATAATGTTGTGAAATGACCATTCCCATCCCCCTCCCCTAAAATACCTCCCCAAGTATCATATGAATTTAATTGAACTGACAGTACATATTCACTTATATTTAACGTCGCCAATACGTCCAAAATGATGATTTTGTTAAATTTTAACATCATCAAAAATATCTACTATTACAGTAAACAAATAAGCACCGTGTAAGCCATGTCTGGTATTCTCTTATAGAAATCATCCACAGGTTGTTTAACATCTATGTTGATAGCCCACTCCTCTTTTGGCTCCGCCCTCCTGACTGGTGCTGATGAAGGACTATCATTACCCTTGTCAGCTGGTGTGTCGACTAACTTCTCCAAACTTTCACTTCTCTGAAGTTTAACACTTTCCTTGGATGTCTCCTGGAAAAAGAATATACACGTAGTATTAATATGACATTATGCTCATTTTTTTGTGGCTGTCAAGTTGTCTTGAATTAGTAATATATTTCCAGAGATTCACAATTATAATGGTGATTGACCAATAAATGATGATAAAAAATGTTTAGAATAAAATATCAAAACTACCCAATTTATAAAGACTTTCAAAATCTTTTAAAAAATTGAACAATACCGTTACATTCTGAACCATATTGACAGAAATTTCCTTCGTGATTTATTGATTAACTGATCTATTGATTATTTTTGCATAGCAAAATATACAACTGAACACAATCATAGCAAAATGTAAAGTTATTTTAAATTTTACTTTTACAAGCACCATTTACACAATAATGTTATGTTTAGTATACATAACTCAAATGAGCCGCATCATGACAAAACCAACACAGTGCGTTTGCGACCAGCATGGATCCAGACCAGCCTGCGCATCCGCGCAGTCTGATCAGGATCCATGCTGTTCGCTTACAAAGTCTATATCAAGTAGAGAAACTGATAGCGAACAGCATGGATCCTGATCAGACTGTGTGGATGCGCAGGCTGGTCTGGATCCATGCTGGTCGCAAACCCATTATGTTGGTTTTGTCGTGACGCGGCTCAAATGGTCAACAAACAAAGAGATAAACATATGGAGCATATCAGCGTCCTTTATTAACCTACCTTAGTCTCCTCAATCTCTTTATCATAATCTTCATCATCCCCAAGTTCAAGGTCATCAAGGTCATCTCCCAAGGTCATAATATCAGCTAAGGTCATGACCTTTGGTTGCTCGGTAACAGAGGTTGCATCTTCTACAGTGTGTTTCTGAGGTGTAACCGTGAAGTTCATACCTTCTAATAAGCCAGGTGCTACTGTAAGTAGGTCTGCAGAATAGATTTTATAACCATTGTGTTTGTTTTATTTGTTGTTTTTTTATGATCATTAAACTAAATATTTTATTTAACTGGGTAATAAAGCTACTTTTATCTACATAAGAAATAAAACTTTGGATGTACCCCCTTCTGTTTGGGGGGTTGAAGGGGGGCAGCAATCCTCCTCATCGCCAAGAAAATTTTGGACATGTGACAGGCTAAAATTGGCCTCAGGTCAATCTTAATGTAACGTGTAACCAACACTGAAAAGCCCTTTACTCTATTTCAATGCATTGAGAAGTTGCAGCACTTTAAAATCAGTTTTGATGAAGAAAAAAATTAAAAATTGTGATTTTTGGCAATTTTGAGACATCCACCTTTGCCATGGTAACAGGAAATTTAAGATTGAGCATGCTGTTACAGAGGTTATGGTTCAGTCAATATTTGTGCCAAGCGCCATCAGTATTGAAGTATTTTTTATAGTTTTATAGCAGTTTGAACTTGTAATAGGAGGCTTTTCAATGAAAACAGCCATTTTTCACAATATGCTCATGTGGTAAAAGGTTAAAAAGCAGAGAAAACTTAAAGTTACCAGTTTCAAAGTTGATGTCCACATTATCTGTAGCTTTCAGCAAGGATTCTAACTCTGGTTCATCTTGGCCACCTATAATATGTCATAATATTATATCAGTACAGAGTTAGGCACCTCCATTACAGATTTAGGCATCAGCCGCATCACCAGTACAAAGTTAGGCACCATCAGTTCAGAGCTAGGCACCATCAGTACAAAGTTAGGCACCATCAGTTCATAGCTAGGCACCATCAGTACAGAGCTAGGCATCACCTTATAAGGTTAGGCATCACCTTACAGAGTTAGGCATCACCAGTACAAAGAGTAAGGCACCACCTTATATAGTAAGGCATCACCTTACAGAGCTAGGCATCACCTTATATAGTTAAGCAAGCAAATCCATGCAGTCTGAACAGACCAAACACTTCTATCTAGTACTAAATTCATTTTCAGAAAAACCCTAAGGCTATACAGACAATAATGGACTATTCCAGATTGAGATCAGGGCAAGTCCATTTTACATAATTATAAAGCTGTGTAATGATTAATACAAATCATAAAGTCATTCACATTATCATATGATGTTTGTCAGTTCAAATGAAAATAACTGCTTTGTACAAATACCAGACACTGGTTAAAAAAATGAAAAGAAGTGAAAGGGGGGGAAAAGGTGTACCTGGCCAAAAAGGAAAATTAAGGCTACTTCCCCTGACATCTCCTGTAGACGTCGGATCTGGGGCTCTGTGTAATGACAGTGAATTCTGAGCAGTCTTCCCCATGTCTGGTAAATACTCCTGAAAATCCAGAAAAGTGAAACCATTATATCACATGATCCAGTAGTTAGGATTGTAGAGTTACCTCTATTCTGCAGTATCCATACCTGAAGCAACCTTTCATAGAATGTCAAGAGCTTTTGGTATTTAAGAGATATAACTAAGTCGAGCTTTCGGTATTTTAACAGAAATAACAAAGACCAGCTTTCAGTATTTAAAAGAAATAGCAAAGTCAGGGATAGTATGCTCTTAATATTGGACTGTTCTACTTCATATTTTGTGTAGTTACTCCTACACTATTTTTTGTGCATTAGGTTAATTATCATAGTAAACTGTAAACTTAATAAAACAAAAACATACTGATAAACTGTAAGCTTAATAAAGTGAAACATGTATTGATAAACTGTAAGCTTAATAAAGTGAAACATGTATTGATAAACTGTAAGCTTAATAAAGTGAAACATGTATTGATAAACTGTAAGCTTAATAAAGTGAAACATGTATTGATAAACTGTAAGCTTAATAAAGTGAAACATGTATCTATAAACTTTAAACTTAATAAAGCAAAAACACGTATTCAGTGTTCAATCTAGAGCGCGCCATTGCGCCATTGACCCCCTGAAAAGGCCGCCGGCGCAAAAAAAAATCAACTGTGGGCCCGACGGGCGCACTCATAGAAAATGCCCTAAATGACATTAGAATGCTTTTTTAAACCTGATTAAGTACATAAAAGAAGTTTCTTGTGAATAATATTAATAACTGAAGTTTGTATATAAAAACAAGAGCATGTTGGTAAGATAGTTTACCGCACTCGGTAACCCATTTAAAACCTTTATCGCTACGCTCTCTCGGTCCGCGTCTGTAAATACTATGTAGACTTGTTCTTTGTACCGTAACTATTACTTACTTTTGAGTCACAGTTTTTTATAAGCAAAACAAATCGTCACAGGTAATCCAATACGTGCGTGTAGTTATAGTTTTTTCACGGTCAAAACAAATAAATATGTAATAACCCCCCAAAGGAAAAAAATATAAAGTGCGAGTTAATTATAGAGAAGTGTGCATAAATTATTACGAACACGCCTCCATCCAATTAAAAAAGTCTTAAACATGGAGCAATCAAACACGATTGGCTAGGGAGTGTCTGACAATTAAGTAAATTAACTTTGATTGGTCTTTGGCTGGTCGGCGCTAAAACATTGTGCATATCATTAATCAACACAGACATCTTAAGCGTGACGTAAGAACTGCTGCCCTGACAAAAGATCAAAGGTACCGGTATGTCAATATACAGTGTCTTAGCACCTGTTGACACTTTGTTTTTCTCTTGGATATATTGAGAAGGGTAAATGTTTTTAGCGACTATTGTAAGTTTATATTCTTCATAAACAAAGCTAATTTCAAAATATGATTTTCCTTTATATATTCGGCGTTGATTAAAAAATTGAACATTATTATCAAATATCCCTGGTGACATTAAAATAAGATTAATACTTTTCTTTGAACTTATGTCATCGCGTTTCTTTTCCAATCAGTTCTTAAAATTGAATCTGTATCAACGCTAATGTCATTTTTTTAGTTGAGTTGTTTTGGAATTTTGCAACCGTTTTTGGTCTAAATATGGTACGTGAACAAGTTACTTAAAAGATACAATACCTTATTTGAATTTGATGTTCATTTTAAGTGTGGGCCCCCTTTTTTCTCAAATGACCCCCTTTTGAAAAGTTTATGGGCCCGAAGGGCACCCTGGGAATTTGTTCTAGATTGAACACTGCGTATTGATAAACATTTAACCTTAATTAAGTGAAACATGTATTGATAAACTGTAAGCTTAATAAAGCAAAACATGTATTTATAAACCGTAAGCTTATTAAAGTGAAACATGTATTGATAAACTAGAGAAGTAATGACATCCTTCGACATAATAACAAAATAATGTATTACCAATAACTTCAGTGGATACAATATGTTGAGTTATTATCAATTATTCTTACCATGGGTTATTCACTGAGACAAACTTTTGTGCAATCATAACAACAATAATTTTTACCCATATTTAGCCATGAAGAACATTAATTCCCAGTATTACAAACAGTCAGTTCCCTCTACTCGTAAGACAAGATTAATTCATATTATATTGATAAAAGCTTCAGAAAACATCAAACAATTAACATGAAAACATTTTCATTAATAACTAATACCTTCATAATAAAATTGTGATTTCAAGTTGAATAGTCTGTCTTTAATAAGATTAATCAACACCTCTGATCAACAAATACGATCTTTTTAATTTGTAACTATTTGTATTTAATTTGCTAACTAGAGTGAGATATAGTTATATATCATCACAGACTACAAAGTTTAATGAATTCTTAATTGTATCAACATGTCAATGCTTAATTTTTTTATGCTGTATCATACAAAAATATGCTTATTCAATTGCATAAGTATATTATCTTATTTCAAATAAAATAGATGGTGGTGGTGTTGGTAGTTTGCACTCCAGATCACAACAGTAAGCCACATTGAATTTACCAAAGCACTGTTCAGCCACGGCATTGTTCCTGGGCAAGCTGTCAGTTTACAAGTACTAGATGCCTTCACTTCCGCAAGGAACTGAAACTGCCAGAGCAGAGGTACAGTGTGAATGACCGTATTAAAGATTTCATGATCAATCACAACGAAAGTGACCTGCATCGTCCGGGAATCAAACTAGGGACACCCAATTCATGGTCAGTCCAATGCTCTACCTATTGAGCTAACCTATAGACTTCAAACAAAATAGATTAGAATAACTACCTCTTTATATCCTAGCAGTTTGCCAGTAGTGGGATTCCGCTCCACCTGTATAGTGGTCTGCAACGATGTCACATCTGTGTGCAACAAATTCAGCGGGTCTGGAACCCTTGGGATGAACCTGAATCAAAGAGAAACTAAGTTAAGTATCTGGTTTTAACCTCTGTTCTTCCGACAGCTTAACTTGGTAAGAAGAGAGTTGGATATGTAATCAAGGGTTCGCTTGTTCCATCCCTCTATTAAAGAGGAATGACAAATATTTTACTAATGAAGATAATTTATGATGGGAATTTAAGCTCAAGTAACAAATTTTCACAATTTATGAAAACATTATATGTAATGATTTCTTAAATTAAACTCAGGTTCATACTTTTGTGCCCTATCAACATCATGTATTGGTAACTCTTCCAGGTTGGTGAGGAACTTTTCAAACTCATCTTCAATTTTTGGAAGGACAGGTGGTAAACCAAGGGGCACCTTGAAAAAGAGAAAATTACAGTTGATGACTATCCTTGTAAACTATTTATAAATGTACATATATATAATTTCTAGTCTTACATTATATGCATTCAATTGTAAAACCAGATCCCCATCCAGTCCGCAAAGAATAGCAGGGACTTGAATAAAAAAAAAACAATTCCCTTCCAATGTCAATTGGACTTAAGATTTAGTCTAAAACTATAAGCACAGGACTATGCTTGCCTTGGTGAATCTGTGTAACCCTCAACTCTTTAAATATCTTAAATGGACTTGTCCATCTTTCATCCTGGACAAAACTTTTGATCATTTTGGGGGATATTTCATAATCTGTACTATATCTGAAAAGCGAACAGTGCAAAACATGATCAGCCAGCTGGTCTTGAATTGCTCTGGTAGAACTGGAAGAATCAGTTGCACTATCTCACTTCGAATTAACATTTTATAAACAGGTTTTAATCTAGATGTAAAAGTTATCAACTTATATGCAGTGTAATGACTTTAAACTAGACAGCTTTCCATCAAAGATTTTATTCCAGTTGAGTATTGTCTTGTTGAGTGTATAAATAATTATAATTTCCTCACTGTTTTCAATGGCAGCTGTATCCTTTCTTTTGACCTGTCTATTTTTGGACACACTTGAACTGAACCACTTACGCCTACTTCTACAAGGTCAAAGTTCATGTCGAATCCTGGTTCACCGTTTGCCATTACTACACTTTAAAATAAATTCTGAAAATAAAAACAAACAATCACCCCCTGACCATAAGATATCTTTATATATATCAGTAAATCAGGACATTTTCACCCTCATATAATTGAGGCCCAACTATGAAATCCATTATTTATTCCAAATTTTCTGATAAAATTTCCTTAATAAAGAATCTTTTTTAAACATCCTTAAGAATTTCACTGACAACTGAACAAGATAAATGCCAACATTCAGGGATGAATTTATGAAAAAAAGGTTGTTGACATTCCAACCCTCATCGTGCTTAAAGGGACTCCACTGAGGTTTTTTGAAATGATGGAACTGAAAATGTTTTTCCAGATAAATGTACCATTTGATTTAGATTTAGACCACTAATTTTTGTGCAAAATTTCAGATCATTCGGGCACTTCGTTTTTCCAGAATAATTATTCAAATTGTAAAAATATGACCAAAAAATTAAATGCGTTTAAACGCTTTTCACAAAAACCGAGCAAAGAAAAGCATAAAAATACAATTTTTAATTTATTTCGAAGTATATTTCTTGACTATCTTTGCATATATTTCAGTTTAAAGTGCCCCAGCTCATTATGTACGAAAATTCAAATTTTATATTCTTAGGCTTTTAAACCTCAGTGGAGTCGCTTTAAAATCTTAATTGGACTTGTCCATTATTTAATCTGACAAAGCCATTCTTTGGTAAAATTTATAAATTAATAAGTTCAAACTGAAAACAGGCCATGATGACGGCATGCATCAGAACTGTCAGTTGTCTGGGCCCATACTGTCTGAACAATAATTTTCATAAAATCAGCAAATATATATACAGTCTTCCATTTTGCAAAAAAAATTCTAAAAACAACAGTCTAAGTTTATTTTTGTAATATCTACCTTGTTTTCTCTTTCTATCTTCATAATATTTGCCAGAAAATATGATGTCATGAAAAAACTATAATCTACAGGTGGCGCAATAGCTCAGTTGGTTAGACCACTGACTGTCAGTCCTGAGGTTCCGGGTTCGATCCTGGGTAACACCCTTGGGATTTTTCAGAAACACTTTAGTGTTTCCCACCTAACTAGAGGTTTACTGGTAGGAAACCCAGGTAATCCTCGCATGTATCAGTACTATACACTGGGCATGTAAAAGAACCAAGGAATCTATTCAGTAAGAGCAAGGGACTGGTTCCCGGATTTCCTTGTATCTCATAGCTGTCTCTGCAGTCTGTTGAGGTAAGGACCCTACTGGAAATAAGTGCTTGCACTTTCAAAGGTTATCCTTGACCGCCTGGTCTAAAGAAAATCAATCAATCAATCATAATCTTGAGTGCTTTTTTGCACTTTTTGGGGAATGCAGTGAGTGCCCATGGAGAGGGGTGTAGCACTGTATGGTATACGTTTCAAAAGTTAACAAATGGTTCCAAACGAACCGAAACTTAGTAGGGTTTCGCAAAAGCGACACCATATTGCACAATTAATACACCCATTAACACTTTTGATATGAATTACGTAAATAACCGAGGTATATCGAGTGAAAAAAAACAAGTTGTTTCCCTTATCTTCGAGTAAAATCGGTATCTCTTATGCTTAAACAATACAAATTAAACTGTTTTTAAACCGCTAGTTTGTTGTGATTAAATGTCTGATTTTATAAATTACTACATCAATGGAAAGTTTTGGACCTTAGTTTTGTCACAGTATATATTTCAACACATCTTTTGACACAAAAGTATTTAAATTAACTGTTAAACCTACCATATGTCAGACTATTTTACATATGATTTATACAGCGAGTATACAGTGTTGCATCTAGGCCGCGCGATTGCGCGATTTGCGCATTTTTTATGCAGATCGCGCATTTCAATGAAGTCAGTGCACGCCAAGTCGCGCATCTGACGATCTTTTCAACTTAATTCAGTTTATCTTCATCGTATCTAAGAAATATCTCAAACACTTCAGCCATGTTTGTTTTCACTCGTGGTTATGACTAAAATACGTACTAAATCGTGTGTAGCAGCCGACTGAGTCATCTCGCGTGTGTTTTGTAGTATTCGTCAATATTTTATTTTTTCTACTTCCGTTTTTGAGCGGACAATAACTGTCAAAAATGCCTGAACGGAAAATAAATTAATTCTTTTCGGTATGTCATATTGTAAGGTAAATGTATGTCCCCCACATTTTTTTCAAATCCCCCACATTTTTCAATTGAGTGGGGGACAATCCCCCATAATTTTGAAATTCTAGATGCAACACTGGATACGCAACCAGTTATCTTTACTTGATAAACTACTGATAAGAATAGCCTGTCGTCTGTTTGATGGGAACATGTTTATTGGTGTATTGTAAACCCTTTTGTTTAAATCAATCTGCAATAGTACTACTCGTCGCTGATGTCTGCACAGCGGATTTACAGACGAGCTCAACATAGAAGTACAAGAAGTAGATTCTATAGGGAAAACTTGTGTAAATGTGGGGCAAAAAGGGAAATCTTATGGATAACAGTTTATTTTATGCCAACAGTGATGCAATACAATTATCTTTCCTTATTGGCATTGCCCAAGACATCTTTGGATGCCTACAGAAAACAAATAATAATTCGGACAACTGTCTTATCCGGAATACCGCTATTTTTGTAAGCCGGCAGCTTTGTGTATCACTCTTATGTAGCGTGTTGACATTTAATAGGCTTTCAGCAATATATTAACATTAAATGATTGTTGTCTCCTACCTCCAAATAAATCATAAGTCTGCAAAAAAAACGCCGATATATTTTAATTTCGCTTTCTTTCATGTTCAGCCTAGTTTAAAACCCATACCTATGTCACGTACTTTAACCGGTATATCTGAAACCAGAAAAGACCCTTTTCCGCGAAATGGTAAATCAATTTATCGAAAAGAGTCTCCCGTGAAACTACAAATAAAGGAACTGTGCTGATCAAGTAAGGAGTTAGTCTGGTTCCCTGCATACATTTACTAAAGAACGTAATATAAGGGAACTCCAGACTAGTAAGGTGAGTATGGTACCTCTTTAGATGATTTAAAGCCGTAGGCCTACTTAACTTCCTTCTAGGGCAACACTAAATTTATAAAATTGGTTATAAACAGGAGTACAAGTAGAGGAGCCAGATTCAGATTTATCTTAAGAAATTTTCATTGAAAATAGCTTAGTAAAGTTCTAAGAAACAAAATCGTTCATTGTATGCATAAATGTTGCCGATGTTTAATCATCGTTCATTTATAATATCCTTCAGAGCCTATATTATAATTGATTGACAAGTACGTCCATATATACATGATGTTGACGTGCGCTTGATTGATTGTAGCACTTAATTTATGAATTTCAATCTAAACTCCAAACAAAGTTTATTGACTTTGAAACGGGCAATAATTGACAGGACAATTTCACCTGGAATAGACTATATGATGATTTTATGATGCAATAAAATATATGGACTCGGCCGATTGGACGGGGGAGCTATGCTGTTATTGCAGAAAAAATAAAACAACCAAGAATAAAATTTATATTATACTTGAAATAAAATTAATGATGACGAATAACATAATTGCAATTTTGTTACTAAACATTGCTTTGTATGTCCACTGATGAAAAATAAGCTGTTTTATGTCGACTGCTACTAGTTACTTTGTTTAAGGGTATTAATTATCAATGGTGCAAAGGGAAGTTACTCTTGTGATGATAAAATTAATTTCTTCTGAAAATAACAAAAGGGCAACTGGCCCAAGGAAGATACTTTTGGGATTAAAATCTATTTTTTTGTGAGAATTGATGTCTTACATGATCAGTTGTCTCTCCCGGCTGAGTCAGAATTCACGTGAGATTATTTAGTACTTAGTCTATTACTTACAGAGAAAATTACTGAATAGTTATCCAGGGAAAGCTGGTTTGGTGGACTGACAATCGGAATAATTTAAGTTTATCAGGGTTATATGTATTGATTTACCATCATTTATATAATTTGATACAGTAGACTGTGTACACATATTTTCAGCTAATAAAGTTTATGTCTCTATATTTTCCCTATTCCTGTAAACAAAATCCTCACCACCAGTGCAAACAAGAATTAAGAAAAATCAAAAGAGAAACAACAAACACACAAAAGCTAATCTAGCAGGACAACACGCTCGAATATTCTCAGTGATTGATAGTAAAACAAGATTCTTGATAATTTATACTAAGGAATTTTAATACTTTGTAAGACATACTGTATGATTATGACTATGTACAGTACAGTGCAGTATTAGTCATATTTCATTGAAACTCCACGCAGTTCAGAATTATGAGTATTGGAAAGTGACTTTTAATACACGAATACCATCAGTAGCTTTTTTTAAAAAAAAAAAATAGATAGGAATCCAGTAACTTTTTGTACAACATTTACAGTACCAATTCTGGGACTCGACTTACCAAAAGATTGACTTTGAAAGATGGAATGAATTTGGTGGTTTTATGCCTAAAACAGATGAGCACGGATGGATCGCATGTAAACATTTTTTTCTGCAACAACATTATTTTAAATCAAGTTAACATGCATTATATACAGTGAGTAGAATTTTTCATATTATTTAAGTAAGGTAAATTGTTATCATTTAAAATATGTCTACTTTGTCTCCATATAAACCATTTATTTACAATATTCAATAATGATGAAAACCAGGAATTTCAAGGTGATTATTTAGGACATGCAAGAGCGTAGCCAGATGATGTCTGTGTAGGGTCTACAGTAACTATTCATGATTTATGGATGTTATCGCCAGTCATTATTTCATTGATTAAATATAAAGACAAATCTTATCATTTATATACAATTAGAGTCTATTAACAGATTAAGGAAACTACAAATCCAAAGAATTAATCATAAAATGAAAAGTGTATTTATATTATCCAGTTGTCAGAGACATAGATAACAGAGATAGGCAACTACCTAAGTACCACACGTGCTTGCTAAACTTAAAACTTGTAGCAAGTAAAACTAATCAGGGGCGGATACAGAACATGGTTTCCTGGGGGGGCTGACATATGGGTGGAAGAATTTGACAAACATAATGTAACAAACGAAAATTGAAGATTGGGGCTCTTGTTCATGTGAAAAAAAAAGATGTGTTTTATAGCTCATCTTTGTGGTTGGCAATGTACTTTGCCCTGATATATGAGTAAACTAATTTTTTCTTGTAAATATTTAGATGATATATGGAATTAATTAAAGTATATGTAACTGGGGTGGGCCTGGGAGGGGTGTCCCCTCCCATAGACCGAGAAAATTTTGAAAAATATAGGTTGAAAATGGTGTTATTTCCTTGACTTTCTAGTTCTGTTTATGGTTACCTTTAATTTTGGATGGTTTTACAAAACACTGTATTTTGTATAGGTAAGTGTTTGTAGAGTCTTTCAAAAAGAATTCCCCTGGTGTTTTATTTTTGAGTACATGTAGTGAGCATTTACAAAACAACAGCACACTTACCAATGTATGCACAACTGTTTTAAAAAATAAGTTCAAACACTTGATCAATTTACTCATCTAAATAATAGATGATTTTCCAAAGTAAAGAGATATTAAAATACTGCCTTCCTAATGTACAAAAAAATAATTTAAAACAAATTTTAAACACTAGTATTCAATAAGAATTTTTTCCATCAATTAATCCATTTTGGATGCTAAACAGGTCAGTACAATTTAAATTTCATTTAAAAATATATTAAAGTGCCATAAAAAGTTATTAAAAGCTAATGACCAATTATTTCATCTTATACTGTGCTCCTCTTAGCTCACGGTACTTAACACTTTAAAACAGTAAAGAACACAAACAATAAACTTACACTACAAAAACTGTCAGAAACTAAATCATTTAGTCATTTTTCTGCTATATGACACAAGGAAAAAACAATATATTCAATCAAAATAAGTTTTAATTTGTCAGATGTAGACCGTGTGTCGGCCATTTTGAAAACAGTGTGTCATCATTTAACTCGCGGTAATGGTGTTTTATTTCAGTTTTTTCATGTTTCAGTTAAAAAATTTTATGTTATTTTGCATAATTTTAAATAATAAAAGAATTTTTACATTGTAACTCAAAATTTTTTCTTTCAACAAACAAGAACATTTAGAAAATGATGATTGTTTCAGACGTATGCACAAATTTAATGGACTATTGTTGTTTTTTGCAGAAGTTTGAAAATGTTGTTCAGTTTTACGTAAAAATCTATAGATTTAAATTATTTTGCACAAAAACTTTGTTGTTAAGGTGTTTTAATAAAATATGTCAATTCTGACCAATTTTAACACTGGTCACATGAAAATATGCCATTACCGTGAGATAAGTGATGACGCGGAATTAGTGATGTTGAGTATAATAAAAAATCTTAGTAAAACTAGTTATTAAAACGCGATTCATTTAATATAATCTTGAAAAACTCTCCATCTTTTTAATTTACAAATAATAATTTCAATTTCTTAATTATAGGGCTTACACAAACGAAATGGCAAAACAAAGATAGTGAACTATGGTGTACAATATAACACATCTATTTTTGCCACTGTCTGTGACTATTAATTTCATTAGACCTTTGGAAAGTAATAAACCAATCAATTATGCAGTTTAAACATTGAAGTTATTCATTGCATGTTGATAGCCAAGCTCCCAGGCAGGAGATTAACAACTGGATGACAGCAATTAATGTTTTGATAAGGGAGTACATTACAGCCAATAAAGTTTGAAACTGACAAAACTATATTCCAGCCCAGCTGGTAAACGTATCTTTGGGCTGACCTGGGGGGACTGCAGCCCTGAAGCCCGGGCCTGAATCCGCCACTGACTAATTAAACCAGATATCAAAATCAGGAAAATAATACATTTTTTGAAAGCTTATGCATTTGTCTATGGCTGCAGCAGGTAAAAATATAAATTTACAGTTCCCATTTAAATAAATTTAATGATACATCAATTTTTAAAGAGAACTACTTAATAATTTTTGTTACAAAGTTATTCATATGCCGAAAAACTGGCTCATTGGGTATGTTCTGCTATGTTTTCCCAATTGAAAGGCATGGTAAGTTACCAACATTTTAACATGCAGTAATAGATATAAAAGATTTACCTTTTCAAATGGTATATAATAATATTAAAGGATCAAATGTACATCCATTAAGTTTTATTTGCTACAAAATGCCATATTTTTCACTTTTTTTATAGGCATGAGTGATATTTCAATGGAGTATAATAGGAGCTGCTTATGTCTGTTATGTATGTCTCTAATATTATCTAGGATATCATCAAAATTAGCCCAACAAATTGTGCCTCTAGCGTCAAAATTAGCCCTGCCCCGGGGTCATAGGTTTTCCTTTTATGTATGTTACATAAAAACTTAAAAATAGTCTTCTAGAAATTGACAAAGGCTACAGCAGAAGTTAGATATTTTGCATGAAACATTGTGTAGTGAACCTCTAGCAAGATTGTTTAAATTATAGCCCTGGTGTCAAAACTGCCCCCGCCATGGGGGGGGGGGTCATTGATATTCACTATGTACATACAGTACATTAAAAAAATTTAAAAATCTTATTGTCTGAAGGTACAAGACTTAGAGCTTTGACATTTTGTATATAATATCATCTATGGGTCAGCTACCAAAGTTGTTAAAATTATGCCTCTTAGTGTTTTTAAAATTGCCCTGCCCCAGAGGCAATAGTTTTCCTTATACATGTATGCATATAGTAAAAACTTGAAAATCTTCTTCTCCAAATTGACAAAGGCTAGAGGTTAGATATTTGGCCTGAGACTTTGTGTATGAACTCTACCAAGATTGTTCAAATCATAGCCCTGGTGTTAAAATTTGCCCCTCCTCGGGGTCATTGATTTTCACTATGTACATATAGTAAAAATTTAAAAATCATCTTGTCTGAAGGTACAATTTAGGCTTAGAGCTTTGACCTTTGCTTTATTATATTATCCATAGGTCCTCTACCAAAGTTGTTCAGATTTTGCCCCTGGTGTCAAAATTGGCCCTACCTTGGGGCATTGATTTTCATTATGTACACATTGTAAAAACAGAAGCTTAGAAATCAAATGTTTTCTGAATTTGAGAAAAGCTAAAGCTTAGATATTTGACATGAAATGTTGTTTGGTGGACCTGTATCAAGATTGTTTGAATTAAACCCTTTGGTCAAAATATTGCCTTGCCCAAGTGACCTACTTTCTTGTCCTTTGATGTACAGCCATGAAATTTGGACTATGTGCACAGTTTTAGTTGTAAAATTGAACTTTGATAGCAGTTGACCTAGATTTTGATGATGTGACCTACTTTCTTGTCCTTTGATGTGCAGCTATGAAATTTGAACCATGTGCACAGATTAAAATGTAAAGTGACCTTCGATATCAGCTGGCCTAGTAGATTTGGCAAAGTATCTTACTGTGCTGTCCTTTGATGTACAGTCATGGAATTTTGGCCATGTGAAATTTGACCTTCACCAACAAATTCACTGAGACTCAACTGCATTGATAGATTCCTACTCTGATCTTTTATTTGAATATAATAGATTAAACCACTAATTAGATAGGTCAGTGATATATGCATTAATTTATGGCAATCTTCAATTGTATAGAAACAAAAAATTTTGTTCCTACATTGCTATTTAGTTTTGTATTAATGCGGTGGCAATAGTATTTTTCCCAAATACAATCTTGTTCATCCTCATTTTCTGCAGTAAAATCTTTTGAAATAAAAAGTTAATTCAGCTCAACTTGACCATGAAAATCTGAGCATAATGTCACTTCAAGTTTTGAGATGGGTCGTCTCCGGTCAAAAACTATGTCACAAGAGCTAAAAATAGAAAAGGCTTGTTAACACTCTAATGGCTGCAGTTTTGATCCAAATTTCCTGGAAATAAGTCAGAAATGTTGTTTTGATGATTTTTAGGTGAAGTTTGAATATAGGTCATCTGCGGTCAAAAACTAGGTCACAGGAGCTAAAAATAGAAAAAGCTTGTCAATACTCTAGTGGCTGCAGTTTTGATTCAAATATTCTGGAATTTTAATGTCAGGAAGGTTGTTTTGATGATTTCTAGGTCTAGTTTAAAGATGGGTCATGTCAGGTCAAAAACTAGGTCACAGGAGCTAAAAATAGAAAAATCTTGTTAACACTCTAGTGGCTGCAGTTTTGATTCAAATATTCTGGGTTTGTCAGGAAGGTTGTTTTGATGATTTCTAGGTCTAGTGTAAAGATGGGTCATGTCCAGTAAAAAACTAGGTCACAGGAGCTAAAAGTAGAAAAATCTTGTTAATACTCTAGTGGCTGCAGTTTTGATTCCAATATTCTGGAAATTTGTCAAGATATTTTGTTTTGATGATTTCTAGGTCAAGTTTAAAGATGGGTCGTGTCCAGTAAAAAACTAGGTCACAGGAGCTAAAAATAGAAAAATCTTGTTAATACTCTAGTGGCTGCAGTTTTGATTCCAATATTCTGGAAATTTGTCAGGGAGGTTGTTTTGATGATTTCTAGGTTAAAGTGACATGGCCATCCAAGGGTATAAATATAGTGAGTGAACGGTACGTAAAAGTCAAAATAAGTTTTTATTTTGTCATAATTCCTTTTAATTTAATAATGAAGTTTGCATAAACAATGAATAACTCACAGATCCAAATGAAATTTATGTAAATACCAGTAAGAATTTACCTATAACACTTAGTTTCTAAAAAGAGTGGGGCAGTCTTTTTAAATTTTGGACTGATTTTTAATTTTACCATTAACATATTCCAATATCAACTGTTGGTCAATCACCATTTTGACAGTCAATCTTTTGAAATAAAAAGTAAATTCAGCTCAACTTGACCATGAAAATCTGAGCATAATGTCACTTCAAGTTTTGAGATGGGTCGTCTCCGGTCAAAAACTATGTCACAAGAGCTAAAAATAGAAAAGGCTTGTTAACACTCTAATGGCTGCAGTTTTGATCCAAATTTCCTGGAAATAAGTCAGAAATGTTGTTTTGATGATTTTTAGGTGAAGTTTGAATATAGGTCATCTGCGGTCAAAAACTAGGTCACAGGAGCTAAAAATAGACAAATCTTGTTAACACTCTAGTGGCTACAGTTTTGATCCAAATTTCCTGGAAATTGGTCAGGAAGGTTGTTTGATGATTTCTAGGTCAAGTTTGAATATGGGTTGTCTCCAGTCAAAAACTAGGTCACATTGCCGAAATATGGAAAAACCTTTTTAACTCACTAGAGGTCACATTTTTGACTCAATTGTCATTAAACTTGGCTAGGATGCTTGTCTAAGACATTGCTAAATGATTGCTTGGATGGGGTTGATGGGTCAGGGGAGCGATCCAGGGCCATCATGGCCCTCTTGTTTCATGTAATTATAACTATGCATGTATTTTCCTTATTTTCAGGATGATTTTTGCGAGGAATAAATAAATATCATCTCATTGAATGTAAGCGAGGCAAGCATGGTTGAAGGAAACAACTCAATGAATGATGCTGCTACAGATTGTGATGAAACCACATCAAAAGATTTGGATGGCACATCTTTTACAGTGGATGATAAGTCAACCAATCAGCAGTTAAAGGAGGAGTCATGTAACCAAGCCTGTCTTCCAGATCAGCCAATTGTTGTTGAGGAGGAAGTTCAAAAGGCACCAGATGGAGGCTGGGGATGGTTCATTGTTGTTGGGGCCTGTTTAGTTCATTTCATTATGGGTAATTAGTGATTTCTTTTTTGTGTCGCCTCTACAGGGATCACTTCTCCGTCGTCTGTCTGTCTGTCCGTCTGTCTGTCCGTCTGTCCGTCACAAAACTTGTCCGGACTACTCCTCATAAACTACTGGTGCAATTTCATCCAAACTTTACAGGAATGATCAGTACCAAGTCTAGTTGTGCATATTGTCAGCATTTTCCGGTTCAATGATTTTTGTCAGAGTTATGGCCCTTTAATAATTTTTATTTTTAAAGTTTGTCCGGACTACTTCTCTTATACCACTAATGCAATTTCAATGAAACTTTACAGGATTGATCTGTAGCTCAAAGTCCTTGCGCATATTGCACAGGTTTCCGGTTGAATGATTTTTGGCCTAGTTATGGCCCTTTGATAAAAAAGGTGTTTTTTTCTGTGTGTTGCCAGATACACAAAAGCTTGTCTGGACTACTCCTCATGAACTACTGGTGCAATTTCATCCAAACTTTACAGGAATGATCAGTACCAAAACTAGTTGTGCATTTTGTCAGAATTTTCAGGTTCAGTGATTTTTGTCAGAGTTATGGCCCTTTAATAATTTTTATTTTTAAAGTTTGTCCGGACTACTTCTCTTATACCACTAATGCAATTTCAATGAAACTTTACAGGATTGATCTGTAGCTCAAGTCCTTGCGCATATTGCACGGGTTTTCTGGTTGAATGATTTTTGGCAGAGTTATGGCCCTTTGATAAAAAGGTGTTTTTTTCTGTGTGTTGCCAGATACACAAAAGCTTGTCCCCACTACTCCTCATAAACTACTGGTGCAATTTCATCCAAACTTTACAGGAATGATCAGTACCAAGTCTAGTTGTGCACTGTCCGTCTGTCTGTCCGTCTGTCACAAAACTTGTCCCAACATGAAATTGGCCATTATGAGGCGACACATGTGATCACTGATCGCTCTTGTTTTCATTATTTAACATACAATCATGTAACTGTTGTACAAGATAAGAGGGGCTTTTCTTATCACTTGGCATTCAGTAACGCTTGGTTTAGGTACTGGGTATAGCTTATTTCTTTTAAAATTGGCCCCGCCCGGGGGTCATTGATTTTCCTTATTTGTACATAGTAAAAACTTAAAAAATCTTCTTTTAAAAAACCCAAATAGCTAGAGCTTAGCTATTAAGCATGAAACATCTTCTAGTGGGTGTCTACCAAGTTTGTTACCTGGCGTCAAAATTGGCCCCACCCCAGGGGGTCATAGTTTTTCCCTTTATGTATGTAGTAAAAACTTTAAAAAAAATCTTCTTTTAAAAAACCTTTAGAGCTAGAGTTAAGATATTTAGCATGTAACATCCTCTAATGGGTGTCTACTATTTTTGTTCAAATAAGGGCCCTGGGGTTAAAATTGGCCCCACCCGGGATCATTGATTTTTTCTTATATGAATAATTATTATAAGTACATGTATAACTAAAAAAAATCTTCTGTTAAAAAACCCAAAAAGCTAGAGTTTAGGTATTAAGCATGTATTATCTTCTAGTGAGTGTCTAACAAGTTTGTTTAAATAAAAGCCCTGGGGACAAAATTGGCCCCGCCCAGAGGGGCGGGGGTCATTGTTTTTCCCTATATGTGTATAGTAAAAACTTAAAAAATCTTCTTAGAGTTAGAGCTTAGATATTTAGCATGAAACATCTTCTATGGGTGTGTACCAAGTTTGTTCAAATAAAAGCCATTGGGCTAAAATTGGCCCAGCCTGGGGCCTATATACAGGTGAGTGATTTCAGGGCCATCATGGCCCTCTTGTTTTATGACAGCCACAGTTATATGAAGACAGCTTGAATAAAATTAAATAAATTTAGAATTTCCATTTCGGGTTTGTAATCCAGGGGCCCGTCTTATCAACGGTCGTACGACCGTTTTTATCGTACGATTGTCGTACGTCGATCCTACGATTTTGGCGGTGTCTTATCAAACGTATTTTGTTCACGATAAACCTGTTGTTTAACATTGATGTAAATAATTTAACGAAAATCTTCTCAGCAAAACAGTCCAACTAGTATATATTCCACTACTAGACAGTCAGATTTATTTGTGTACTATGCTAATCGACATCGCAAAAAATAGCATTTTCATTGATTAAAATGATATTCATCTGCGTAATTTGGGATTGTGCATTTATTGACAATTCTATAAGCCAACGCTACTTTTAAACTTGAATGTGTTGTAATTTGTTGGATATTTTTAAAAAAATAAAAATATTTCTTTCTTTTACAACGCTAGTTTTAAGCTGTTATGAAACTACTTATTGTAAGGTTTGTCGTGAAATTCTGTGTCAGAGATTGAATGTCAGCATTGTATTTCCTGCGATCAGAAAATACAAAAATAATTTGAGTAAAAACATGAACGCTGCCTTTTGACATCCCTTTTTCTTAAAGTATATATCAGTGTAAGAAATTAGGATTTGAATCAACCTAAGGCTGGTTGGACTACCAGATTGGAATATTCACTAGCCCAAAAGACATTTCACTAGCACGATTCATTTGTTCAAAACAGTTGTTGATATTGCCTCTGAAAATACAGTAAACTGGTCGGGCTTGTTACTGTGAAAAGTTGGTAGCCCGAGGAGAAATTTAGTAGTCAGGGGCTATTGGACTACTGCTAATTTCGAACACTGATATATGCAAATGTCATTAATATAATTAAAGGATGTTTCTTGCAGGTAGAAATTTGGAAAACATACGATCAGTTTGAGATTTTTTTTTTTTATTCTGAAAGCATTTGAGCCGCGTCACGACAAAACCAACATAGTGGGTTTGCGACCAGCATGGATCCAGGCCAGCTTGCACATCCGCGATGTCTGATCAGGATCCATGCTATTCGCTATCAGTTTCTCTACTTATAATAAAGTTGGTTGACTGCGCGGATGCGCAGGCTGGTCTGAATCCATGCTGGTTGCCAACGCATTATGTTGGTTTTGTCATGACGTGGCTCATTTTATGATTTCGGCTTAATGAAACCATAGTGTTTAGGAAACAGACTTTCCTATATTTGATTTCTTTACTTTTTTGTTTCAGGTGGATTTGAACGCTCAAATGGGGTTTTATATCTTCAACTAAAATCAAGGTATGATCACAGTGCTACAGCAACATCCTGGGTACTGTCATTGTTCTCCACTCTCAGGCTAGCCGTGGGTAATTATCTCTAAAAATTACAGTAAAAACCCTCAATTAAGACCACTACCGGGGCTGGACCAAAGTGGTCTTAATTGAGGGTTGGTCTTATTTGTGGATATTCTTATTGCTTACACACTTGACAATTATCTATTTTAGTCATTTTGTATGAACCAACGGTAAGTATCATAACCTGCAAAAACAATATAAAAGAATGTTATAATGTTACCTCTGATGGGAAGAAAACAGATATCTGAAGAAATTTAATATAAAATTCTCTTTGGTCTGATTTCATTATTAATTATTATATTGTGATGTAAATAATTTGCCCATCAAGTAAGAAATTAATTCTTCATTAAAAAATGTGCTTAAAGCAAGATTAAACCTCTCTAAAATTTTATTTTCTCACCTTATTTTATACAATATCCCAATAATAACAGTTTTTCGACACCTTGTAAAATTAAGTGTAATGCCTAAGAGCATTCAAGCAGATAATAACAACCAAACATCTAGGTAGGTGTTGACTTTAATGTCAGTGGTCTCAATAATGGGGTCACATAAAGAACAAAACAAAGAATTGGGACTGAATCTGGTGGTCTTAAAAGTGGATAAGTGAGGTGGTCTTAATTCTGGAACATGTAACCATTGACGTAAAGAACAAAAAATTACGTTCTTTAAAAAAAATGGTCTTAATAGTGAGGTGGTCTTAATTCCAGGGTGGTCTTGAGTAGGGATTCTACTGTATGTGACAGGCCTCAATATGTCATTACTGGCATTACATAACTTTGAATATATAGAGATAGGCCTACAATGTTGGGTTATTATCTCAAAATAGTCAGCCAGAACATACCTTGCTGATATTTCCCTTAAGATGATAAATTGGTTTTGTCCAGATTGAAAGATGGATAAGTCCATTTAAGATTTTTAGTGTGCCAGCAGTTTAAATTAGTACAGATCAGAATATTTAATCATTTTTAAAATTTTCTTGGAATTTATGGAAATCAGCATTTTAAAATGGCTATAAACTATTGTTATCATCATATACATATATTTTAAACACACTTTATTAGATCTATTAATGTTTATTTTATGTTGCTTATATGTTAAAGTGATTTTTTTTAGATGGGAGATTCAGTACACAAGGGGGTCCCTGGCAGAGTGGTTAATAATGTTGGCTTCAAACCACTTGCACCTAACTGCTGTGGATTCGAATCCATAAAGGGACTTTGGATTGCAGATGGCTGCACTAATGTGCTCGTTCCTGCCTGAAATAATGCACGTAAGGGCACCTTAGGTCCGTTCCTTCACCAGTAAAGCTGGAGGGTAGCCATATGATCTATATAGCATTGGTGCAATGTAAAACCCAACAAAAAAACATTACACACACAAAAAAAACATTCAGTACACATTACATAATACAGTTCAAGCTGTAACAACAACATAAGAATAGATATCAAAAGATATTTAGCATTAAAAGAAAGGATAAAATTTACATTGTAATGTTTAAATTTCAGGTCCTATTGCAAGTGCACTTTGTAACAAATATTCTTGTCGGACGGTTGTCATGATGGGAGCAACTATTTCTTCTCTTGGTGTTTTAATCTCGGCTTTTGTTCCTGATTTACCTTACCTATATTTTACCTATGGTGTGCTTGGAGGTAAGTAACATTTTCAGTTTGAGTACTGTAAGCACAGAAATTTCACCAGGGATTAAATTTTGTTAATTTTGCACATTAAAGATTTTGCCAAATAAGTAATCCCTAAGATCTTAGTATCAAAAAAATTCTACAGGACTGAATGAAGAAATTTTGCAAATATTTTTAACTTCAATAATTAGTCGGAAATGTTGAAATTTGAGAATTTTGTGAAATTTTGGCCATCATGAAAATTTCTGATTCTACAGTATTCAAGACAGTATTCAAGTCTTAATGGAATTATTCCACTGTCCCTGGCATTCAAAGTATTGCATTTATAATTGGTTAAAACTTTGTGTGAAATTTCTTCATACTTACATAAAGATTGTGATGTACTTTTGTGTATATGATTATATATATTTTAACATTTAACTTTTGTATTTATTGACAATTGATTTGATTGATTAAACAATAATGCTAAATTTAAAGTAATTTGCCCCACATCTCCTCAATTTATATTAAAACCATAGTTGAATATTTCTATGTCCTTCAGGGTTTGTACTCTCAGTGCCTGAAAGGGCTTGAATGGACCCTCGTTAAGCTTAGAATACATACATTCCATGTCCTTAATTCTTATTTCAGGAGTTGGCCGTGCTTTTACCTACACTCCAAGCTTGATCATTGTTGGATATTATTTCAACAAGAGGCGGGGCATTGCTGTGGGTCTTTCTACCTCAGGCGTTGGCTTTGGTAGTTTTCTGCTTCCACCAATCATGGAGATAATGTTTGACTACTATGGGTTTATTGGCACGTTTATTATACTCTCTGCTGTGATGAGTCATTTCTTTATACCGGGTGCTCTTTTTAGACCGTTAGATCTGCATAGGAGGTTCATGGAAAATGACAGGTTTGTAACAGAATTATCAAATTAATGTACATACATTTAACATTCAAAAAACACAAACATGATTTATATTTAAACCAAGGTAAGATGATATTTGTTAGATTTTGGGGTGAATATGGAAAATATTGCGCTAACAAATGATAATTTTTTAATAATTTAAAAATCAAGAATGAAAAAACATATACGAGGTATGTTCAAAAAGTTCGTGGATTTTTGCTGTCATTTTTTACTTGGTTCATAAAAACACCCTTAGTGGATATGAATCGAAAGAGTGTTTTTATTTTCAAAAGTAAGATTTACTTTTATTGTTAACTTTTATTTCCTTTACGAGTTTTGTGCACTTTAATAACCATGGCAACGCAACATCGGCGCACGCCGAAATTTTCATATAATGTTTAAATATAAACAAATGTTGGAACAAATTAAATGATTGTTTTATGAAGTTAAATACAAGTTATCATCTATTAATATTTAAATGACATAAATCTGACATTTGGCGTTGTTTGAACGTTGAATAGCTGAACAAACAAGTTTTGAGCAGCAGTAGACAGACGGGTAAGTTGGGAAGTTTAAACCCCGTTTAAAAACTAGAAATTCGCTCTTTCGGAAATTTTTACCAATAAATGTGGTATACTCCTTTATATTTTTATAAGGTGATTAAATTAACGAAAAACAATGAGTTGTCGAGCAAGTCTCTTGGTTTCAGGTCGCGCAAGCGATTCAAATACGACAAATACATGCTCACAGACAGAAAGGGCGAATAATTTTAGCGGCAAATTGTCGGGACGTTTGTAACGTTAATTGCAAAAGATCTACAGAAGTTCAGGCATTATGACAGTTTTGCGAGATGTCCGACATGTTTAATTTCTGCATCGGGTCTATGCATTCAATTCTGACAAAACAATTTAATTTAATTAAAATAATATTTTATTTCATTCATCAGGATATATGCGTATTTACAATAAATACTTGTAGTTATTATTTGTATTTCCTGTATTTACCCTGGTCCGTTTGATAATTAATGCTAGCCGGTGTTCAGTAGATTTACCGCATAGAATAATTGTCAGTTGATAAAATATTTTCTTTATCATCGATAATCATATTGTTTAAAGATCGGACGAGGGCGGTTTCAAATTGATACTATCAATCAACAATTGAATTAACTTAATAACACTGTCCGTTTAGTGTCTAAATTACTCAAAAATCCCGATAAAGAGCGGAAAGTATGCGGCACTCGGACCTTTATACGGAGAATGGAGCGAATAGATGACCACTTTATATCTCGGGTCATCATCGCAAACAGAAAAATGGTTTTGGTATATGATCCGCAGATATTGAACACTAAAAAGAGTACTTTCAGAAACAATGACGCTGGTAAAATGTTTCATTTATATTGCGACGTCACGAACGTCATTTTGTTTCATTATCAGCGTGCGCCGGATTGTGCACCCCTTGTGATTTGTAACTGTCACAGAATGATTATTTGTAAACATATTGTATTGATTTTTTCAATGTTTATTAAGGACATATTTTCATATATGTCTCTTGTGAAATCATATACGCAAATTAAAAGATGTGAACAGTAGAGCCGCAGTCCACGTACTTTTTGAACAGCCCTCGTACAAGTACATATAAATTGACCTTACGGTAATAGACCCTCCTCCCCCTTCCATCCCCCAAGAAAGGTAAAGAAAAATAAGAAACAAAAATGCCATAACCTACTTAGATTAGATTTGCCCTGCTTTAAACCATTCCATTCCTAGTTTAATTAATAATCAATGTAAAAATACAAAATTTGAGCTACATTATACCAAAATATTTTTACAGTATTCAGCCTGGTCAGTGTGAACGGACAAAAACAGGCTGCCATTATACTAGCGTCATAGGTTATTCACTTGCTGTTCCTGCAGGTAAATGGTAATTCAGTGAAATAATACTGTTTCTTTTGTTTTTTTCCCCCAGACAAAAAGATGCAAGGACAGAAGAAACTGGAGAAAACTTACTGACAGGTGTCACCCAGGCAACAAGAACGCAAAATCTGCTGTCGTCACAGTCGGCAGCTAAAATGTCTTCATCATTGGAGTTGACGGCAAATGTAAAAATAGAATCACAGAAAACTTCACTTTTTCAAAGAAAATTATCAAAAGTGAAGCTAGCGATAAAAGGAACTGATAGACCGAAAGATAAAAATGGAGAAAAAAGGAAACTTTTGGATTTATCGCTGTTTAGAAATTTTGCATTTAGTGCCTTATGTATACAGTTGTTTTTGTTTACCCTTTCTTTTAATTCGACTTTTGTATTTTTACCTGCCCTCGCAGAGGAAAAGGGTGTCGACAGATTACAAGGTGCTTATTTAATCTCAATATTGGGTATATTTGATGGAATAGCAAGAATAGTGATGTCATCTGTGCTAGATTTAAAACGCGTAAAACCATTCCGTTTAATTATATACAATTGCGTCATGTTTGTTGTGGCGATCGTTTCACTTTTATTGCCTTCGATGACAAGTTTTTGGCAGTTTGCCATAATCAGTGGACTCTATGGTGTACTATCTGGGACATATATTGCCCAGAAGTCAGTGGTAGTGGTGGATATTTTAGGAGTGGAGCATTTATCAAGTGCATTTGGATTGCTTCTGATGTTTCAGGGTCTCAGTGGGCTGGTTGGTCCAACTGTAGGAGGTAAGCAGATAAATCTAAATTAATGTGCTTTTTGTGCTCCATGAAATTTTTCTGTGGATTCGTTCTAGTTTGTATTTAATATTTAATTGTCATTAAGTCTGTGGATAAAATGAGCTTTTTTGAAATGGATCAGAAATTTTAAACCTACAACAGCATTGATTGGTTCTAAGCTTATGACCTTGACTGTTTAACACATATGGGCCATTGAATTTTATTTTGTTTTTGCACAGGGACCTATAGTGATCCCTTGTATGGATAAGATATTTTTAGTAATAAAACAATTATGACGTTAATTTGTTATTCTAGTAAGAGACATACTTATGTATTTAGATTTCATATAGGAATGAAATCAATTAGAAATTTTAACATTTTGATTGCAATCTAATATCCTGCGTATATGTACATGTACTTCCTTAATTGATTGAAAATTTTTGACTTTCAATTTAACAAGATGGAAAAGTAGTTTGACTTGCCTGTAATTCAAGAGCCCTAAGGTTTTGGGTAGCATTTTTGCCATGAGCTGACAAGCAAAGAAATGAAACGAATTTTAAAAAATAATAATAAAGAACAATTTTATTGCAGGTTTACTAAAGGATTTCCTAGGAACGTATGACATGGCGTTTTATTTTGGTTCAATTGGTATTGTGGCAGGGGGATTTACAATGGCAGTAGGAAATATTTGGCTTTATAAACAGAAGAAATTGAAGGAGAAACAAGACAAACAAGAAGCAAATGGAGAACACTGATCAAAGGGAGAAAACTCTGTATTTGATCTCATTATAATCATAATTAGGTCTTGAGTAGTTTCCCTTGATTTTTACAAATTGCAACAATTTTATTAATGATTTGAATTCTGAACATTTTTAGGTTTATTCTTTTATTGGAAAATATGAAATACAGTCAAACATGTAAGATCACCCTAGTATATATACATGGTATATACAACCTATAAATAATGACCATATTTCTGATCTGAAAAAAAACCTGTCTCATTTCTTTCTCATGAACTTTGTCTTGAATTTAAAGGCACTTGAGAAATTATAGAATAGTTATGACAAATAAAGTCTACAAAAATGTTAAACAAAATAGGAAATTTTACATGTATTTATGACTCTTTTGTGATCACTGACACCATACATCCATTTACACATGTGAACATTACTTAATTGGAGACAACCTAGCCAGGAACTTCTTTGAAAAATCAAAACAACAAAAACATTCTTTAAAGCAGAAATTGGGTGGTATCAGCATATAAGTGTATAATTTTTAGCTCGACTATTCGATAAGAATAAGTAGAGCTATTGCAGTCACCCGAGCGTCGGCGTCCGCGTCGGCGTAACCACTTTTGTTAAAGTTTTTGTAATAGTTCAAATATTTTCAAAGTCCATAGACATATGGCTTTGAAACTTTGCACACTTGTTCACCATCATGACTCCAACCTGTAGACAGGAGGAGGTAACTCTATCAAGCATTTTGACAGAATTATGCCCCTTTTTCGACTTAGAATTTACGTTAAAGTTTTTGTAATAGTTCAAATATTTTCAAAGTCCATTGACATATGGCTTTGAAACTTTGCACACTTGTTCACCATCATGACCCAACCTGTAGACAAGAGTAGGTAACTCTATCAAGCATTTTGACAGAATAATGCCCCTTTTTCGACTTAGAATTTACGTTAAAGTTTTTGTAATAGTTCAAATATTTTCAAAGTCCATTGACATATGGCTTTGAAACTTTGCACACTTGTTCAACATCATGACCCCAACCTGTAAACAGGAGGAGGTAACTCTATCAAGCATTTTGACAGAATTATGCCCCTTTTTCGACTTAGAATTTACGTTAAAGTTTTTGTAATAGTTCAAATATTTTCAAAGTCCATTGACATATGGCTTTGAAACTTTGCACACTTGTTCACCATCATGACCCCAACCTGTAAACAGGAGGAGGTAACTGTATCAAGCATTTTTTTTACTATCAAGCACTAAGAATAGTCGAGCATTGCTGTCCTACCGACAGCTCTTGTTTAAAGTCTACTTATTGAAAAATGTTAAGAGTTTGATAAAATTTCAAAGGAATGATCTTTTGGTAATCTACTGAGATTGTTGAAATAATTATCTTTTGTGATATTGGCCACAAGGGCTGTTGGGTTTTTCAAAGAAGACATATACATGTAGCTATCATACTCGCCCTGGTGTCGGTATTGGCACTTGCACTTTGGTTAAGTTTTTGCGTGCAAGTATCTTCCAAAACTACCAAAAGAAATGGGTTGAAACTTCAATCTTATTTTGGAGCAAAAAAGGAGGTCACTGACCAAGGTCCATAATTTTGACATGAATATTGACAAGAATATTGTGGCCCTTTTTGAAGTAATACATGTATAGGACCATCATGACCCTCTTGTTCTTTCTTTAGTTAAAGAAAATCAAGGCAAAATCAGGGTATTTTTTTTATATTATGAGGTTTAAAAGTAGTTTTCTAAGTGTTTATTTTTTGTTTTATTTTTTTGTTTTGTTTTTGTTTTGTAAATGACAAAAGTCAGTGATTAGTGCTATGTTAATTATATATATGTAAAGTGATATTTTTTATGAAATAAAATTGTTACAATAGGTAAAAGCTTCATGCCCCCAGTTGAGCCAACAATGTTTAAAGTGTATTAAAACAATATATCTGCTGCTGTTAATGAAATTAATTGTTTGAATTTTGAAAAAAGAATAATTCCAAAATACCTGTACGAAAGAAATATCTTGATTAACTTCGTTTGAAGCAAATGACGCATGCACTAAATTATTAGGTAAATGAACACACCCCTACTTCTATAGCAATATAACATTTTGTTCTGGATCATTTTATTCTTTTTTTTACGTATAATATCAGTGTTGTGAAATAACAGAGACATTCAATTTCACAATTTTTTTTGCAGAATTCACCATAAAAGTATGAGAGTTGAACAACATAATTTTATCATTAACAAATTTTATGAAAATATTTCATTAGATATAGAAGCACCCATAGCTATGTACCCCTGAAAAGATCATAACTTTAAAAATATGTGATATTTGTATAAGAAATGTACAAATATACATATATTTTATTCACAATGTGTATATTGTTTAACATGTTTTATGCAACTTTGTGCTGAATTTTGACTTTCAAGCACCATATCTGCAACCAGTTACTTTAATACTGAGTGATAGTCATTTTTTGTAAATTTTGACATATTCAGGTATATATGAGCCACGTCATGACAAAACCAACATAATGGTTTTGCGACCAGCATGGATCCAGACCAGCCTGCGCATCCTGCAGTCTGATCAGGATCCATGCTGTTTGCTATCAGTGTCTTTATTGTTATATTGTCTGTAAGCGAACAGCATGGATCCTGATCAGACTGCGCCTGCGCGGACGCGCAGGCTGGTCTGGATCCATGCTGGTCGCAAACCCATTATGTTGGTTTTATCGTGACGCGGCTCATATTTTGTTCAGTGTAAGCGCCTAAATGCTGCCTAAAATGACATTATTTGTTCACTTAACAATAATTGTCTATTGTTTAAAACATTTTTTATAATTTTCATGAAATTTAGCAAAAATCTGGGGGCATGCTGCTTTAGAATTGTTGTAGAATTGAATCAAGTATGTGTTCAGACATTTAAATCTTTGTTAATATTATTAATATGTTATATTATGTATTTAAGATTGATATTGTTCCTCATGATTTATTTCTTATCTGATCTGATTTGTTGAAGATGAATATTATTTTAAGCCTTGTTGTTAATCCTAATAACCTGCCGAATAGATGGATCTGTGGTTTAAGATACATGTTTTAATCTCATACCCGTGCCGCAGTTGCGACTCCGGTAAAAACTGTATTGCAATGACATGCATATATTTTGACATGACATATTTTGCGTTATGTAATATTAATCTGACACTATATGTGAACTTCAATGAAAAAGTGTGCATGCATGTATTTAAATGTGACTTCATTTGCATTGTACAAACTTATCGCAAAAATGCGCTAAATATGAATGTCATGCTATATATGCGCATCAATGAAAAAGAGATTCTTTTTCACTTTAAACAGTTCTTATTTTTGATATGTGATAAACAGAATATTGCATCCGTGTAGCTTCATTACTAAATTTATTGAACTTGTTGGATAAGATAATATTATGCCCGCAAAAAGACTTGCATAAAACAATTTTATTCAACTCCTTCAATAAATGCAGTATTGAATACACTCATTCAATATCCTCTGTTAGTGATAAAAAAATGTTAAAGCATAATCTTATTGTCGTAAATGATTATTGTTTGTTGTTTTTCTAAAATATTGTATTAAGACTTTTTAAAACAGACTATTATATATGTTTTTTATACAAATATGTATTGTATATTTACAAGAACATCTTCCCCCAAAAACATTTAATGATTTTATGATATGCCAAAGACAAAAAAACAAAAACTGTCTCACATTGATCTGTTATGTTTTTTTTTTATATTATTTTACTATAGGGTTATACATAACTTGTAATATTTCACATAGACATGTATTAAACTTATTTAGGCAAGTGCTGTAAAGGGAGCCTAGGAATGACTTTAATGTTAGTCTATATCCAGTGAACACCACTAATTATGATATCGCTTACAACGGTATACCGCTAATAAAGAACCTGTTCCGGCGGTTCAATCTTACTTTCAAATTGGCTGCCTCTAGGATATAATGATATTCAATATATTGATTTTAATTTGGCAGTTACCAGAATATCATTAAAAGCATGTTTACTGTAATATTTTATAGTTTATACAACATTATTTTAGTTAGATTGTGTTGGAAGCTATAAGCATATTTAAACACTTCCAAATCTGTTCCTTGAACCAACCAGTGCCAAGCAATGAGTGTAAAGATTCTTGTTCATGGAACGACTGCTTGATCATAATGGGATTTGAACCCACGAGGCAAAAAACTGGTTTGACTTGTTAAGCACTTGGCCATGCAGCCACTGCGGTCTTTATATGACGATTATGATATAATTTGATATGTACATGCATGGAAAAGCTCTGAAAGAAAGCAAATTTGAATATTAAACGAGCCATTTTTATATTTAATTTCGTAGGTAAAGAAATGCTCATTTAAGAGTATGTTACATTGAAAACAATCACATCTTGTGATTATTGATTATTATTCTATATAATAGAATTGATATTCAAAAAAAGTGCTAGAATTAGGTAAAATAAAGTTGTTGAATAATGCAGTGTATTAAATTATGTAAACGTGAATATACCTGTCTATATGTCCAGTTGTTGCACAGGAGCTTGAAATTCTATTGATAATCACTCTCAAGTCTGATTAAACAAAAAAGCCATACCTATTAATAAAATTTTAATATATAGGCATGGATTTTTTTAAATCGGACTTTTAGAGCTATTATTGATAGAATTTCAAGCTCCTGTGGTTGTAGTAAATTTCATGCATTTTGTGATCTCATTTTTTAAAGTATAAAATATTCTACAAATCTACAAATGTATTTCTCATTCCGACTAGACTTTAGTATTTTTATTTATGTACATGTATACTTTTTTCTGTCGACTTAAAATATCATCATGCTTTTGTATAGGTGTTAATTAATCAAGATGGAGAAACTCAGCAGAGAAAATAAACTCACTGAGAATTTCATTTTGGGCAAAGAAAAATTATTCTGAACCGTGATCCTACTGGAAGAAATAGTTTTTTGGTATATTTTATGAAAAAGTAGCATACAGTGTTTAAGGTACATGTAATTAGATTGACTGTAAGAAAGTAAATATTTATTTTTTTTGTATATTTGAATCTATTTCATTTTATTTACATTAGAGAATTTTAGGATCTTATTTTATTTAATAATAATTATAGTAAACTCCCTACAAGTAATTTCTGGAAATTAAGATAATTGGTTATTTTGCCAGGTGTCCCAAAGGTTTGTACCTACAAATAAAGAGCTAGCAAACTTATTTCCCATTATTTTTCCAACTTCTAGCCAATTTTTTTCAACACCATCATACTTCCATGTATACTTAAGTAATATGACTTAACAGGCCTGTTTGTCAAGCTCATTATTGTGACAAAAGTTTTTTGAAACATATCATGTTATTTTTAAATTTACTTTGATTTTCAGCTCACATGACCAGGGTGAGCTTTTATGATCACAATTTATTGTCTGTTGTCAGTGTGCATGGTGAGTATGTATCCATGTAACTATTTATACTGGTCTTATTATTATATAATGATCATAATAATGTTATTGCAGTAAAACTTGTTCTTGCCATAGCATTAACCAAGTCATCAACTTTTGTTGGAAACAGTAGTTTCCAATGGTACTATTGTCAGTCTTACTGGTGAATAGTTTATTGTATATACAGTTAGTAGAATGATAATAACATAAATTTTCATTATATATTGTATTTGGATTTTACAATTTTTTTTAAAGTGTGAATTGGATTTTAATTATATTTATGATTCACATAGAAATGTTGATTATTTATGATATTTGTTTTACATTTTTTTGGAGAATGAAGCTATTGTTTTAACCCCCTTATCAAAATCTGTATTGATTAAGTTTTTAACTTAACTGAATATAATGTGTTGTATATGTGGTCATGTGTTTTCTAAAAAAAAATTCTAATTTGCTTTACCACTTAGCCAGTGGTAATATTATTATACACAAATAGCTCAAATATTTATGGTCCACTAATCAAAATGACTGTCAGAGCTGTAAAAAGACATTTCTTAAAATGATATTTCCCTGTCTAAGGTTTGCATCATTTTCTGAATAAAAGCAGTACTATAAATAAAGATTTATTATAATGCTTTTACTGAGAAAATGCTTAACTAATGCAATTGTCCTTGACAACTGGACAGATTTTGATCTGTATGTTTAGTTTTATCAGTCACAATACTTGTTCACAATAAAGATAGGTTTTGTTTGTTTGTTTTGGGTTTTACGTCATATCGACACAGTATAGGTCATATAGCGACGTTCCAGCTTTACTGGTGGAGGAAGTCCTCATGTGCTCTTCCGTGCATTATTACAGGCACGAACGGGCACCTGAGTAGAACCACCGACGTTCCGTAAGCTAGTTGGATAGCTTCCTCACATGAAAGAATCCAAAGTCCCTGTCGGGATTTGAACCCACAGCGGTGAGGGGCAAGTGGTTTGAAGTCAACAACCTGTTGAAGTATATATTACCCAGGATATTTTATAAATTACAGAGGGTATACCCTCCAAACTTAACACAATCTAAGATCAATCATTCTAGCATGGCCGTTGACTGTTAATATTGCATTTTCACAAGGTGATGGTACATATTTCACAAACATTTATGTCAAATATACAAATAAAGTGTTGTTATTTTGGTATTGTTATTGCATTATTATAAATCTAGAAAGGAATTGTTTGAAAATATATATTTATATGATATTTACTATACATTTTTTTTTGGTGCAGAATTGAATAAATTTACTTAAAGATTTTCATATGTATTATGTTGTACTAATTAGTGGCACATGAGTAAAACCATTAAACCTTTGTAAGGTAGCTTAAATTTAGATTTGTCAAAGAAAAGGATTAAATGCATTTGAGTGATTCAAACCTTCAGCAGTAAGAGGCAAGTGATTTGAATTCAAGTCAGCCATGTTAACCATTTTGTACTAATGGTACCGGTGTGGAACATGCCACAACTTATGGTTTAGGATTCTAATTTATTTTTCAATTTTATATTCCTGGCTTCAAGGAAAGTAATGATTGGGTAAAGATGGTTTATACATAATTTATTTTAGTTTGTCTAGCAAGCTATAAGCTTGAAGACAAACTTTCGAATCTGTTCCTGGAACCATCCAGTACTGAGCAATGAGTGTAAAGTTTCTTGCTCAAGGAAACAATGACTTGCTCTGGTCGAGATTTGAACCCATGCAGCTAATGATTATTAGATTACTAGTCCAATGTGTTAACAACTCAGTCAAGCCGCCACCTAAGTTAAGGTTAATGTCAAACAATTAACATATTTATCTTAGCTTGATTGCCAAACAAGTTCTTGCAACTTATATTAATCACTTTCTGGAAATAACCAGTACAGGTATCAAATGAGGAATCATGATCGTGACCCAAGTAGGGTTTGAACCCACAATCTCTGGGCTGAGAGCAGACAATTGAATGACTCAAAGTCCCCCTCTCCCCTTTTCAAAGAGTAATGATTAACCCAAAACCTGCAGAATTTCTTGAATGGACTTCGTTGTTTCAGTTTCATTTTTGGAATTGCCCATTATCAATTTTAGGGATACCAAAATGATTATTTAGGAGCCAATAGTGTATAGCCTGAATTCTTGGAAATGTTCATTATCAATTTTGGGATATCAAGATGAAAACTAAACAGGCAATAGTATATAGCCTGGATTTTTGGATTTGTCCATCATCGATTTTGGTGAAATCAAATGGCCAACATTATTGAGCCTGGCCAGACTGCTTGGGTGTGCAAGATGGCATGGCTCTGTACTGATGGCAAAGGCTCGTCACTTGGTTCGAGCAGGTGAAGGGTTAAACAGGCTTATAAATCTCGGAAACTAAAAAGAAAAGCTAAGATAGCGTAGGCATTTCTTACATTTTTATTTACAAAAAAAAAAAGAAAATGAAAACAGTTTATACCACAGGTATGGTAAAATAATATAAAACATGAATTCTTAAATCATATGAATATTTAACCATTTGTAGTCTTGTAAATTACTTAACTGTCTCAAAACGTTTATTTATACATTTAAATTTTTAATATGAAACATTTTTACCATGGAAGATTTGTCTATAATCATTGTAGTGTAATTGGGAGATAGAAATGTTCTGAGGTGTATTCTAACATAATAAAGGGAATGACTGAAAATGAGGATATAAAATAATGATTGCACACAATATCTATCACACTACGGCTTGTTGCTTAAATCCTACGTATTCGTCCCATCCTTTACGGCAAGTTTTTACAATCCAGTTATGTTCATCATCATCTAGAAAAGAACAAATGGAATCATGTGTGTGTGTGTTTCAAAAGATATATTTATATACTTGTAATATGCATAAGGTTTAAAGCATAATGTCTCCAATTTTATGAAATTTTTATGAAAATACAAAAATATTGTTCCACTTTGTAAAAATATTATTAAGCACTGTGATGGAAAAACTGGCCACCTGTGTTTAGCAAATTTTATATCTTTATAATAACAGTATCGATTTTTGCCAAAGTATGACTTCACAATTCAAAATTCAAGGCAATTGTAAATTTACTGGAGGACATTGATTGAAGGACAAATTATTATCAATAAACAGTAAACTTGCCCCCAACCCTGCTGGAACCAAAAGTGATTGGCATGTGTCACCAATATAGAGCCAGGCCAGCGTGCACTTCACTGCAGTCTGACCGGACAATATACTGTTGGTAGCTCAATTTTTGTACTTTGACTTTGAAATAGATAATAGTTCTTATATTTTGAATGTACTGTTACAAATTTAAAGCTGTGCAAATCCAGCAGATTGGGGATAATTAATTAAATAACTGGAAAATGTTTGTTTGTTTAATTGGGTTTTACGTCACACTGACACATTATAGGTCATATGGCGACGTTCCAGCTTTACTGGTGGAGGAAGACCTCAGGTGCATTATTTCAGGCACAAATGGGCACCTGAGTAGAACCACTGACGTTCCGTAAGCTAGCTGGATAGCTTCCTCACATGAAAGAATCCAAAGTCCCTGACGGGATTCAAACCCACAGCGGTGAGGGGCAAGTGGTTTGACTTTGAAGTCAACAACCTTTAAACCACTTGGCCATGGACACCCAAACTGGGAAATGAAATATCCTAAAATAATACAAAATCAAGATAACTGTTCAAGATAAACTAACCTGCATTTCTGAGGAATTTTTGGTTATAATCAACAACAACTCTTGTCTTTGGATCGTAGAAACCATCGCCACAATCATAGCAGCCTTCTGGTATATCACGAGGGGGAACACGATTGGTCAACTGAGAACGACCTAAAAAAAACAAATGTCGTAAATTAAAGAAAACAAAATTAATCTACAACTTGAACAATTTCAAATTTGCAGAAGGGAGATTACTCTTTTAGTTCTTTTGCACCTTGCAAACAAAATTATGGCCCCTGCTACTAAGATTTATTGCTGTTGTTTTTCTCTCCAAATATATATTGTTTCATAAACTCTTGCAGAATTTTCCAGGAAAATGAACATTTTATACTTTAGAAGAATTCTTTGTCAGCATAAGATGTAGAAGTTAACCTTTTTTAATAAAAAGAAGCACCTTGAAAATTAAGTTGATGTTTTTTTTAAACCTGAATCTGCCGAAATTGAAATTATTACTGTTGCAATCAAGCAAACTTCTGAGTTCTTTGTCTCCTGATTAAAGTTAATTTCTCATTTGACCAGGTTTTATTATAACTGTTGATAGCTGAATATTTGTATTTTTGAAATCCCATCAACTTTGAATGTAATGTTCCAAATTCAAAGATTAAGGTGAATCCATTTAAAAAATTCAGCAGATTAATGTTGGATGGTAATAAATTTAAAACTGTACCTGCTGGCTTGAGTCCATTTTTAATCTCTGTGTAAAATCTTCTGTCATAACCATCACAATATTCCCAATTCTCCTCTTCATATGGTAATCCATCAGAAAATGTGTATTTACCCTAGAAAAACATGGATACTATCAGCCTTAGGAAGTTTTAACTTAGCTCATCATTTGATGCATTATTTCATTTATAAATGTATGGCGTTTAATGAAAAAAAATCAATCTTGAATAATAACTTGGTAGATCTAGTAAATACATATTTGAAAGAAATTATTACTTTATTGAAATTAAGTCCTATCTTTATTTAGTAAAAATAATGCACTTATTAACCAGTGATGAGTCTGTTTACTGGAACTTACCAGTACTGGTGTCAAATGAGGGAACATGCTTGTGACAATGTTCAAGACTATTTCTCTTAGTTAAAGTCAGTCTTGATTGCTCGTGAATATCGGGTAGACAGATGTAAGGCTCGAACACATGACACCAGGGTTTAGAAACAGACACCTTAACCAATAGGCCCTCACTCTCTTATCATATTACTATTGTTAATCATTCTTACTGCTCAATATTTAATGCTAATCTGTATAAAAAGGATTAGAAAATGTTCATATTTTAAGACATGATCCATTAAACTTTTATTGTTATATGGTATAAGATATTTTCCTTGAAGTACCTCTATAGCTAATCCTTTTTCCCAAGTTGCCTCGTACTTGCTTCCATTTGGGAAATACAGTGTTCCTTTTCCATGGAACATTCCATCTTTCATTTCTCCTTCATATCTGGTCTCAGTCGGAAAGGTATATTTACTATTTCCTTCCAACCTGAAAAAAAACAATGTAACAGTATTACAATTTGATATGATATTCAATTACATATGGTTACCATCCACTTTAACGGCTGACAGCTTTGCGTGCACATTTTTATGACAATTTTGTCGGAAAATATAATTCACTAGTTCAACAAAGGTCCTAGAGTTAAATTGCACTGGCTTGCACATTGCACAAATTGCACATCAAGTGAGGGAGAAACTGTGGTTCGGGGGAGAAGCCCCAGATATGAAGCAGATTAGCAAAGGAATTAAAAACAAAAATGAATGGCATTACAAATTTGCAAATGATAGCACCCTTGCCTTAAATATTTTTGTCCCAGCCTATATTAACCATGCTAGTAACAGGAATTTCCGGTCTATTAATAAGTCTTTCATTTGAGCATACATATAAAATAATTGTTTTGGAAATGAAAAACAAAAATCATAAATAAATAAATCCTCTCTGAATCATATTAAAAATGACAATAGTTTGATGGTGGGTGGGGAATGAAAACAATGCAACGTTTATGTTTTTATATCAAAATTATGAAACACTTTAAAAGAAATATTTGCATGTTTAATTCTCTATGTATAACTTATTCGAAATTATATAAAATCACTGTTTAAAAAGCTTTGCAGAACGAAAACTAACCTTCCATTTTTACGATCCCCTTCGTAGGAGCTTCCTGTGTACTCCATTTTGGTTTACAGGTTGGCATAGTAACCACGTGACAGATATCACATGACAGCTATTAATAGAAATGGGGAAGTAAACAAACGAACCATGTGCCATTTAAAGTAATTATAGATCTACACTCAAATAGTGATTATAATGGCTAAATTAATTGATTTCTTTTGTTTCCTTTTATTAAACTATAGTGGTAAAATACAAGGACAGAAATATTTATCAGTAAACGGAACAAACCTGATGTTGAATGGCGAAAAGGTGTTTTTATCAGGAATGAACCAAGCTTGGTACAAATATGGGAGCGATTTCGGAAACAAAAGTTACATAAATTCGAAACCACATCTTATTCATACCTTAGATGCATTGAAAGAGAATGGCGGAAACTCGATAAGTATGATTTATAATAATTGTGCAATTAACAATAAAAGAATTTTATTTCTTAATAAATTTGATTACAGTATAATATATAGATCTAGATTAAGATGTTTATTAACGTGGGTAATTAAGAGCAGGGATGTTCAATGTTTGCCAGTGTAAAGAATGTTACTATTGCCATTAAATTTGCAATGAAAACTTGTACAATTTGCAGAATTGTATCAGAAATATTCATCGCCTATCTTTATCCCTGGTTTAATCATTTATATATAAGCAAAGCTTTAACAATGTACGTTGTTCGACTTTGTTTATGAAGTTTTATTTTACTAAGACAGCAAGATAAAACTTGATAACGATTGTTAGATAAGAAATTTATAGACAGTTACAGGAGGTCGACATGGTTTCCATGGTGACCGTGATAGCCCGATAATAGTACGCACCCGTTAGTAATTTTACTCGATCTAGCTAGAGTCACGTACGTATTTTATATCGTTTAAATAGGTCTGGCGCAAGTTCCTCTCTAGAAATTCCACATTTTCCTACATATTTATTCATGAGAAAAAAGACCAAGATACTAGTCTACTTCAAAAAATTTATTCTGAATAAAAATATGCTTTGATGATTTTAGTTTGAGAGTCCAACTCATTCGTACGACTTCTGTGTTTTACGGATGAATATTAGAATTAATACATTTACCAACAAGAAAACTGTCTCTTAGAAGACCTGTTAAACACGTTCTTTGATGGTCGCTGGTCAGTGTTCACGGAAAGCATTTGAATGTACGTTTTTTTTTGTATTTGTACTGGAGAAATAGCCATTCGATGTATATGTATATAATATTCATATAAGTTACCTACATTTAGATGTTAATATTATTAGAATTTATGAAATTTCATTTGTTTAAGGAATGTGGGTTCATACGTCTGGTGGAAACACGCCAGCATTTAACGCAACAGGTCACGTGACGGGACCAGGGCCAAATACAACACGTGACTTGCTCGATTTTGTTCGTGAAGCTCAGAGCAGAAACATTCTTGTAACTTTTTCATTATGGAACGCTGCCGCTCTTTCATCAGGTATGTTCTAATTTCTTATTTTTTACCTACTTTTAAATCGTCGATCATTCTCATATAAAATTATATGTTATTCATTGCTGCTGATTCCAAACGTTGAAAGTTTCGAGTTTTTTTTAAATCGAAATCGACACTTACTGGCACAACTTAACACTTTTCTAGATTTCTTGCCTGCATATAAGCGTATTTTATCTGGGACAAACAGTGACCCTTTGTACCAGATTGGTGGTTGTGTTGGTAGTTTTCACTCCGGATCACGGCAGTAAGCCACTTTGAATTTACCAGAACACAGTTCAACCAACGCATCGTTCCTGTGCAGGCTGTCAAGCAGTTTACCAGTACTAGTTGCCTTCACGTTCACAAGAGATACGATGCAAATGACCTTAGAAAAGATTTCATGATCAATCACAACGAAAGTGACCTGCACCGTCCGGGAATCGAACCTGGGTTGCCCGATTCACAGTCCAATGCTGTACCCGGATTTTATAACGTGATGATTAATATAGATTAATTTATTTTCCTCATTATTATGTTTGTAAATTTTATTTCGTCAGATTTTCCAGCAGTTCACATTTATACATGTATGTGTCTATATAAGGTGTCAAAACTTGAAATTTTACAGGGTCGCCATTGATGGGGTTACTAAAAGACGAGTCTATTTTACAGTCTTACATCACGAACGCTCTGGTTCCCATTGTGCGTGCGCTGAAGCCACAAAGAGGACTGGCTATTTGGGAGATAATTAACGAACCGGAGGGATCCATGCTAATGGGTGGGTTTATTATGATATATAGCGTCCAGGCTTAGATCCTACTCTAAAGCAGTGTTTGTTTGATTTCCTGTTACCCACTAATGCTGCACGCTTAGGCCTTCAGATGAAGAAAATAGGTGATTAAAAAATTAAAATGTAAACGAAAATTTAATGTATTTAGGCTTTAAGAAAAATACAAATATTTATGTTTTTAAATTAGGATTTAATTTACTGTACGATTATCACAAAATTTTCACCCATTGAATTCCAACGGAATCAATTGTATTTTTTTGTTGTTGATATTTTGACACATTTAAGGTAAGTTATATGGAATGTAAGCTTACATGTCTGACAATGTTTTAAGTTATTAAAATTTCTTGTAAATAATAATTATAAATGCAGTTCGAATAATCGGGAGCTGTGCTGCTATAAATTATGACATTATAAACATCACTGGGTGTGGCGCCGTTATATGTTGCAACGCTGCTTAATGTCACACTTGCCGCTAAATGTCGCAACCCTCGCTAAATACCGCAAAATCTTCTGGCAATGAATGACGCAATAGTAAGTTAAATGTCGAACGATTTTCCTTTGCCGTTAAATGTCGCAGCACTGCCGTTAAATGTCGCAAGATGTATAGTCATGGTGCAATTAAGTTAGTTAGTGGTATCAAATTACAATAAACATTGAGAAATTGTTTATATATATATATGTTTAGTAACTCTGGGACATAAAGGAATTTTCTCGATCAATCTGCCGACTCAAGATGAAAAATGCATTTTAAGTGGACTGATCTACAAATGGCACAATTTGAAAACAAATTAAATGTTTCAAGTATTGTTTAAAAAGATAATCGAAACGTTTTCTTATAAAATATTTCTTGAACGAAATATATATGTTTATCACGTTCTACGTGGTTAATATGACATTTATATGATGAATTTCTAATATCTTGTTCTGGAACATCTTCTGATCAACACCTCATGGTTTGTTATCACACATGATGCTTATATTTATGATGTTGCATTCTTTCCATCTTAGACCAATTCTCTTTAAAAGTCCTTTTTTTGTTTGAAAGTAAAATGTAAAAAAAACGAAAACATGGATTAAAGTATATAGTGTGCAACTGATCAACATGCTATGTATATTGCTTTGTTGACTTTTTGCAAGTTTGTAACTTGATTAGTGTCCATCTACTTGCCACTCACCGCTGTGGTTGCACGAATCCCGCTAGGATTCAGGATTGTGAGGATGCTATCCGGCCAGCAAGCTGACAGAACGTCGATGGTTCTACTTTGATTCCAGTTGGAACACTGGGGGGCATCAGAGATCTTCCCCACAAGTAAAGCTTCAAAGTCGCTTTATGACTACTGTGTTGGTGTGACATTTTCATGTCTAAAAATTAAAAGGGACTTTGTAAGTAAGGTTACTAAGTAGAAGTTAAAAAAATTATTAGGAAAAATATATTTGTTCTTTGTATAAAAAATAACAATTAGGAGTTTCACAACAGGTTAATATATAGGTATTTGGAGCTTTTTAAGAAACAAAACACTTAAAGAGAAAGTTGCCATTTTATCAGAGATTTTCGACCATGCGACCACATACATGCATAGAGGTCATGTACGGGAAGTGACCGTGCGACCACATACACGCACCACAGGATTCCCCCTTCTCTTACGAGAAAGGGACAAAGAGCTGTCCGCCCTTTTATTAAGGCAGACTGAAAATATGCCATTTCCTTATTGATAAGGAGGCATAATTTTAATCGATATGTCTTTAATTGGTTTATATACAACATTATATAGTTACGCTTAACAAGTAGGTGATCAGTTTTCGTCCTTTTAAATCAGCTATGAAATTTTAAAAAGATCATATGTGATTTATTAGAAAATTTTGAGTTTACAGATGTTTCTACTTTTCATTTTATGTATGTAAAATAATTATTTTATTTTTTCGAAACATGAACGTTTCAAATACGTTTTAAATGAATTAAATATGGAGATATGTTTCACACTTTGTTGCTAATATTAACCTTGAGGCATTCATTAAAATACTATAGTCTATGGTGGCCGGTTTCTGCCTTTTCGTTTCTATGTGTCTCCGCCCCTCAAAAGTCGAATGCGAAGACAGGAAGACACGGTATTATGCCCACTTACGGAGTCTTCGCCATCGATTTTGAGGACGCCGACACGGAGACACTATACATTTAGGCGAAATAAGGATATTTAATAGACAAAGACACGAAATCGTCTTCTGTAGAAATATCGTGTCGGCGGGAATAAATCTTCGTATTGGCGCCCTATATGTGTTGTATCGTCGTGTTTTCGCCGGCGGAGACAGGATAATTGGCTTATTTATCGAGTCTTCGACATGATGTTATCGCTCGAATCCACGACATTTGGATTGCTAAATGAAAAAAAAACGTACATGTGCGCTCTAGTACCAAGGGGTTCTATGGCATAAATTATGGTCGTCATTTTTTAATACCGATTAAGACGACTTCAATTTCAACCAATTATTTTGTCAATTTTAACCCATTATTTTGTACATCACAGCAAATCCTGTCCTTTCTGATCCAGATCACTTACATAACGTTTATTTATATAATACCAATTGTTAATCATGAAATTAGATATTGCGACATTTGACGAGAGTCTTTTGACATTTAACTGTAAGTGAAATTGGTGCGACATTAAAATTTTAACGTCATCACTGCGACATTTAACGGCAAAATATATTTCGAGCCATTTAGCGGCGGTTGCGACATTTAGCGACAATAACGCGATTTTTAGGGGCAAGTGCGACATTTGGCGCCGTTGCAACAGATAACGGCACCACACACTGGGTATGTAGTAGGTTTTGTAAGGACATGATTGCAATTTTTTGTCTTCGTGCTGGACTAATGTGCTGTGAAGGTGGAAAAAAATGTTCAATTAATATCCCGAAGAAATTAAAGTACCAAGGGCATAAATTGTCGGTCACTGCCTTAATTTGACTTCAACTGCCGTAACTTAACGTTGTTTGCTTATTTACACCTTTGATTTTCGTAATTGAAAAATATATTTCAGTTATGAGTTACTCCATTTACAATAACACAAAGAAGTGCTCCATAAGTACCATGAACTAATCGCGTAAATATTTTTTTTTAGAAAAAGAAGACAAAACAGAACCTTGTTTCGATACATCAACGATACATCTGTTAGACTTTGCTGACTGGACAAAACAAAGCATTCCACTGAAAAACTTTCTTAGATTTATTGGACTCCAGGCTAGTGCAATACACAGCGAAGACACAAAGGTTTGTATGTTTAAATAGAGCGTTCTTATGGTATGGCTTTATGACTATACAAAAAATGAATATATACAATTTAAAGATATAATTATAATATGCTTATCTTTGCGTAATTTGTTGTTGTTTTTTTTGTGCAAAACTTTATTGAAATCTGGGAAATTCTTTCGGAATTTGTCTAATTTGAATAAAAATGCACAAAGTATGTTCAGGAATCCACATTTCCCATGCTAGTAATTTTAAGGACCCGGGACCTTCAAAATACCGTTACGCATGTCTACCGGGCTGTCCGGCCGCTAACACATCTTCACTAAATAGTAAACAGTTCTGAACTTTGACGGATAGTAAAGATGAAGCTTAAAATATTTAAGACAACAACAACAACAACAAAGGTCCCGCGAAGAAATATTTTCAAAATACCCAAAAAGTCTTAGCAGAGCGAGGTTTCGATCCTCGGACCTCTGGGTTATGGGCCCAGCACGCTTCCACTGCGCCATTCTGCTCTTGATACCGTACAGCAAAATCGATAAATTTTATTGATAACTGACCATTATTGATTTTTGATTTGCCTCATAGCTAGTACTGTCAAACAATATGGTATTATGTCAATTTTTATTTATAAGTATAATCGATTATCTTATTGTCCCCCGCCTTTTCGAAGAAAAAAGGGGGATATAGTAATAGGCTCCGTCCGTCTGTCCGTCCGTCACACTTTTGTGTCCAGTCCATAACTTTGTCATTTTTTTAAGGTATTAGCACCATAATATGCACTATAAGGAACTATAAAATTGTCAACATATCATTTCATTTATCAAAGGAATCTGAAATAACTTGGCACAAATGTTTGTTATAATAAGTCGATGTGTCATGCCCAACAACCAGACCCCTATCTCCAGGGTCAAGGTCGCACTTGCTCATTCAAGTCAAGGTCCGGTCCATAACTTTCTTATCTTTGAAGGCATTTTGTAAATACTTGCCACAATTGTTCACAATAATGAGACGATGTGTCATGCGCAACAACCGGTCACCTACTTCCAAGGTCAAGGTCACACTTGGAGGTCAAAGATTAACAAAGTCTATTACAGGGTATATTTTGTGTCCGGTCCATAACTTTTTCATTTATCAATGGAATCTGAAATAACTTGGCACAAATGTTTGTTATAATAAGTCGATGTGTCATGCCCAACAACCAGACCCCTACCTCCAGGGTCAAGGTCGCACTTGCTCATTCAAGGTCAACATTGTCTATTTGAGGATATATGTTGTGTCCGGTCCATAACTTTCTTATCTTTGAAGGCATTTTGTAAATACTTGCCACAATTGTTCACAATAATGAGACAATGTGTCATGCGCAACAACTGGTCAACTACCTCCAAGGTCAAGGTCACACTTGGAGGTCAAAGATAAACATAGTCTATTACAGGGTATATTTTGTGTCCGTTCCATAACTTTTTTATAGATCAAAGGATTTTGTAAATACTTGCCACAAATATTCACTATAGTAAGACAATGTGTCATGCGCAACATCTGCATCCCTACCTCCCAAGTTCACACTTAGAGGTCAAAAGTTTACGTATTCTGTTTTAGGGTATATTTTGTACTTTTTCAGGATTTTGAAAAAACTAGGCACAAATAGTTACAATAATAAGACAAAATGTCAGATACAACACCTGCACCCCTACCTCCTAGGTCAAGGTCAATGTCACACTTAGAGGTCAAAGGTTTACAGAGTCTGTTATATGGTTTATTTTGTGTCCCTTCTATAACTTCTTCATAGATCAAGGGATTTTGAAAATACTTGGCACAAATAGTCACAATGATAAGATAATATGTCATGCATAACGCATGTGTCCTTACCTCCAAGGTCAAGGTCACACATAGAGGTCAAACATTTACATACTCTGTAATGGGCTATATTTTGTGTCCAGTCCATAACCTGGGATTTTAGAAATACCTTGCACAAATAATCACAATAATAAGATGATATGTCAGGTGCAAAACATTGGCCCCCTACCTCCAAGGTCACACTTAGAGGTCAAAGATTGACATAGTCTGTTATAGGGTATATTTTGTGTCCGATCTATAACTTCTACATAGTTCAAGGGATTTTGAAATGACTTAGCACAGATAATAATATTAATTAGATGATATGTCATACACTACACCAGTTCATCACCCCTACCTTTAAGGTCAAGGTCACCCTTAGAGGTCAAAGGTTAACATGATAGAATTTTACATTCCGTGTTTCATTTTAGTTGTATTTCTTTAATAAATTCATTGTTGCATTTGTAGATCTAGCATTGATCATAATTTTTGAATGAAAGTCCTGACAGCCATACCTCAATCTTTTGAAATAGCGCTGCGCAATTTTATGCTTCATATAAAACTTCCCCGAGGCGGGGGACGTTGGTAACTCTGTTACAAATTATTGTTTATATTGCTTTAAACACTAAACAAGTGGTTAGTTTATTCAATTCTAATCATTAATATGATTAAATTCTTAAACTGACTTTTCCACTACCACTACCAAGACATTTGGAGCTCAACTCCAAATGAATTGTATATTTGGTAATATCAGCATAATTATAATCTTATATATATGAATAAAACCTAATGCAAGCCTTTTTGTACAAAAGATGCGAATCGTTGTCCGTAAAATAAATAAATAGATAAATAAATTTATAAATAAATAATTTATTTTTTAAATAAATGAATAAATTGAATGAATGAATGAATGAATGAATGAATGAATAAATTAATTAATTCATTCATTCATTCATTCATTCATTCATTTATTCATTCATTCATTCATTCATTCATTAGTAAAAGCAGAGTGAGAGGACGGTCATGGGTCCAGCAAAGACAAATTAGAGATTTTATCCGCCTAGATATGTATATATGTGTGTATACATGTATATATAATATATACTTTTTAGCTAGCCATTATGATGCTACTTAGATAATAATGTTTTATTTTTTATGTTCTTTAAAGATTTATATAAAGATAGTCTGCTAAGGGTGATTGTTATTTCGTATAATTTTATTCCTGTAAGTTGTATTATTTTCAGTTTATAAACTTTGTGAGCACTGAAGTTCACTTGAGACGGAAATTAAAATTATTGCTCCAGTAAGACCTTGATGGCCCGTGTGCGGAACAAACAAAATATGAAACAGTTTTTTTTTAAATTTTAATTGTACCTGTCATTAAATTTCCTTATTCAACATGTATATTAACAAGTTAGTGTATTAAGCATGTGAATTTACGACTGTGAAAAAACTTAGCAGAGCGAGGTTTCGATCCTCGGTTATGGGCCCAGCACGCTTCCACTGCGCCACTCTGCTCTTGATAACGGATGGTAAAATCGATAAATTTTATTGATAACTGATCATTATTGATTTTTGATTTGCCTCAATGCTAGTATACTGTCTAACAAGATGGTATTATGTCAATTTTTATTTATCAGTATAATCGATTTTCTTATTTATATTGCTTTTAACACTAAACAAGTGGTTAGTTTATTCAATTTTAATCATTAATATGATTAAATTCTTAAACTGACTTTTCCAACTACCACTACCAAGACATTTGGAGCTCAAAACGTCTTAAAATCCAAATGAATTGTATATTTGGTAATATCAGCATATAATCTTATCATATATATCAATAAAACCTAATGCAAGCGTTTTGGAACAAAAGATGCGAATCGTTGACCGTAAAATAAATAAATATAAATAAATAAATAAATAAATAAATAAATAAATAAATAAATGAATGAATGAATGAATGAATGAATGAATGAATGAATGAATGAATGAATGAATGAATGAATAAAAGCAGAGTGATGACTTGAGGGTCATGGGCCCAGCAAAGAAGATCTATTTAATATAAATATACGTCATTTCCCTTGTTTTGTCTGATTTTATTTTTATGAATAATAAATGCTAAAGGCCAAAAACTACGGCAAATACAAATTAGCGTTTTTAATTATATACGACAAATGTAGATTTTACCCACCTAGATACATGTATATACATATATATATTGTATATACATTGTAGCTGGCCATAATGATGCTACTTAAATAATAATGTTTTATTTTTAATTTTCTTTAAAGATTTTTTGATATAGTCTGCTATGGGTGATTGCTATTTCGTTTTATTTCATTCCTGTAAGTTGTATTATTTTAAGTTTGTCAATTTTGTGAGCACTGAAGTTCAGTTGAGACGGAAATTAAAATTATTGCTCCAGTAAGACTTTGATGATCCCCGTGTGCGAACAAACAAGATATGAAACATTATTTTTTTATTTTAATTGTACCTGTCATTAAATTTCCTTATTCAACATTTACTCTAACAAGGTGGTGTGTGTTTTCAGCATGTGAATTTAACGACTGGCAAAAAACTTAGCAGAGCGAGGTTTCGATCCTCGGACCTCTGGGTTATGGGCCCAGCACGCTTCCACTGCGCCACTCTGCTCTTGATACCGGATGGTAAAATCGATAAATTTTATTGATAACTGATCATTATTGATTTTTGATTTGCCTTAAAGCTATCACTGTCAAACAATATACATTATGTCAATTTTTATTTATGAATTGGTTAGTTCATTCAATTTTAAATATCTATATAGTTAAATTCTTAAACTGACTTTTCCAACTACCACTACCAAGACATTTGGAGCTCAAAACGTCTTAAAATCCAAATGAATTGTATATTTGGTAATATCAGCATATAATCTTATCTTATAATACTGCACGTTTGTAACGTCATTTTTCATTGGATAATCGTGACGTTTATATAGTTTTATATACACGGCTGCTGTCGATTCATGAAGAAATCTTCCTTTTTTTCTCTAAAAATGATGCCTGTTGTATTATAAATACGTTATAAAGATTGTTGACAGGTTATATGGCCGTATATAAACGGCTGTTTGTAATATAACCCTCGCCTAACGGCTCAGGTTATATTTACAAATAGCCGTTTATATGGTGCCATATAACCTGTCAACG